GAGTATTATTCAGCCATGAATAAGAACAAAATGCTTGGAAAGAAACAGAGAGAACTGGAAATGGTTATATAAAATGTGATAAGCGGAACCCAGGAAAACATGCCATGTTTTCTCTCATACTTGTAATATAGATTTAAAAAAATAGTTAATACAATCAAAGATGCCTATATGTCAGAATGAAACCCATTGTTTTATGCAATTAATATATATTAATATGATAAAGAAAAAAATTCAAGATGGGGTTTCCTCTAGGGAGCTTTAGCTGTCCTGAAACTCACTCTGTAGACCAGGTTTAGCCTTTTAACTCAGCGATCCACCCGCCTTTGCCCGCTGAGTGCTGGGATCAAAGGCCTACGCCACCTTACCTAGCTAACAAGGGAAATCCTTTTAAGAGTACTTCCCTCCCTGATGTGTGCTCTTTTCTGAGTTTCCTTTCCCTAGGAGGACCGTGGGGCGCAGCAGGGACAGCACTTAGGGTGCTATTTTCATGACATCTGCCGCCGAACTCAGTTAACTCCTGGAATGGGCTCTGGCCACTGGGAAAAGGAAAGGGATGAGAAAGGGAAGGGGAGGAGTGGTCCTCTTTCTGGACCAGAATCCCAGTGCTGACCAGGGCTACACATATAGCCGAGCTCCAAATGGGAGACAGCGAATAGTCTTCTGAGAATTCAGAATTTACCATGGCCCTGGGAAGTGCTTGGATTTTTCAGACGCGCAGGGCATTTCAGACATTGGTAGAGGAAGATGTCATATTCCTGCTTCTCTCTGAGTTCTTGAGTCTTTTAGGATCTCAAGACTTAGGCTTCTAATGGAGTATGAGAGGTGATGAGGAATGGGTCAAAAAGTGCACTGGGATGAAGGTAAACAGGAAGCTACAACCCTTAATACCTAAACCTGACCGCTAATACTGTCCAGAACAGAGCTGGTGAGAACCACATTTGAGACCAGAGTAGATAGGAACTGAAGGGTCCAGCCGCTGGTGTCTCTCTGAAACGTACCATATGCTACTCTGCCTCCACACAAAGGTCTTGTTCACAAGGAGAAACAGAAACGATGTGGGGTAGGAACTAAAAGCAGAGTTCTCTCTAGGATATGACATTGTACCGGGCATGTCATGTTGTAATCTAAGGTCAACAAAGCTTCCTTCCGTGTGTTCTCTTAGTTCCCTGGTCTTTAACAACATTAAGATAATACTTCCTTTGTTGAGTTTCCAGGAGATTAAATGTGAAGCTTTACCTGAGGGTCAGTGAACACGACCTCTTGTTGTTGCTTAGCTATTTACTCAGTATTAGCAAATGAGTAAACGCTATTTCCCTGAGAACCCTGGAGTGTGGTGTGTTTGTCTGTTTTGTGAGTTTATTTGGGGGTAGTGATGTGCTGTTGCTGCTAGGGACAGAACTCAGGACCTCACATGGGGTCTACCATTCAGAAACATCTCCAACCAATAAATAAATAAATTAAAAAAATAAATAATTTAAAAAATTAAAAAAAAACAAAAAAAAGAAACATCTCCAACCTATCTCCATATTCTTTCTTTTCTTCCTTCTTTCCCTTCCTTTTGCATTTTTTAAGACTATTTTTTTTTCTTTTTTAATGGTTAACTGAAAATCAGAAAAGTCCAGTAGCTTAACCAAAGTCAGTCAGTATGAGAGTCATGACCAATCCTGGGCTTGACAGCCCCTCCTTTACTCACAAACATAGGTGATTTACACTCTGACCACCGTAGCCAAAGCCCATTGTAAGATGTAACTCACAGGATATCACAGCTGACTTATGACTTTCTGCTGGACCAAGCTGGGCTGAGCTTTCTTCCTGGCACCCTTTCATGAGCTCTAACTCAGTCTGAACTTTAGAATATCATGCCTCAGTGAAACCTTTATAGGCAACCTCCCAAAGCCATCCTGAAAAACAATAAAAATTGATTTGGATAAGGATTCAATTTTGGCTTGGCAATCTTCATCAGAACCATGAGTTTGAGGCTAGCCTGGGCTATGTGGCAGAGGCTCAAAAAACAGATAAAAACAAGAAGCAATGTTGGAAAGATAAATTACTGTTGGAAACAGTAAATATGTTTGCGGTGTGAACCAGACAACCTGAGTTCTATGGTTGGGATCTATGAAGGAAGAACAGACTCCAACATGGCTCTCTGGCCCCAGATACACACCAGGGCACGCGAACACACCTCATATGCAGAGATATAACAAAACAGTTTAAATGTAATATTCCATGATTTTTACCATTACTAAAAGTGAAAAACAAAAATTTAACTCCTAAAAAGTTTAACTCCTAAAAAATAAAACTGGTTTTCCTTCTAAGCTTCTTTGTTCTTTACTCCGGAGCCCATTTGACAACTTTCCATCCCATCAGAAGCCATTAGGATGCCACTGGTTCTTCCAAACTTGCTCCCTATGTAGGGCCAACTTTGCACCCTAGAAACCTCAACCTGGGACCATAGACCCACATCATTTCCTGAGGCTTTGGCTCTCTAAAGGCATTTGCAGAGTTTCTTTGCAAAGAGTGCCAAAGATCTAAAGAAAAAAAAGTTTTTCCCTCAAGTATAGTATGTTGACAGCTTACCCAGAGAGAGGCAACATTTGAAGACGAAGTCAGGATATGAACTTCCTTTGAAGTTCGTGTAGCGAGCTGGATGCTGGCTGAAACAGCCTCGGTGAATCTGAGTGAACTAAATTCCCAGTGAAGATCAGAGTAAAGATAAAGCACGGAGCCGTCGGGAGAATTTAGACAGAACACAGCCAATCCTTCTATCTCCCTGCTAAGCGGCAAGTCTGGGAGACTTCAGTCGCATGTGCTGTTCAGTTGGCCAGAGTTCACCAGCTCCAGGACTGGAGTCTGCCTCTATCGCATTAAACAAAGGAGTCATGTGTTCCCCAGCAGCTACCACCATCATCGACACAACTGTGCGTTGCGTGAGTGCGTGCGTGCGTGAGGGGAAGGGGATGCGCGCCTGCGTAGGTGCATTTACAAATGAAGCCTCGTTGCCCTACAGTCTGAATTCAGATCCCTTGAAATGTGATTGAAGTGATGAGACACTGTGCCAAGAGCAGCTCAAGGCTTCTTGTCTTCCAAAATTAAGACTTCTCTCCCAATAAAGTTTTCACAAGTTGCCAAAGAAGCAACCAAAAAAATTATTTTAGAAGCGGTTAACCCAGTTGCTCTCTTAGAGACAAGCAGTTCTGTTTTCTTTGTAGCAAATTTCTCCACATTGTCAGGGAATGATCCAACACTTCCCACTGTGCTCCATTAAGTTCTTCCAGAAAAGTGATACAGGTGTAACGGGTTCCAGAGAGAGTAGTAAGCCAACTAAGAGGCCCTGTGCCCCTATGTCTAGAAACTGGAAAGAGAATACTTTCACATATCAATTTCATTCTGGTGCTAGATACTGGGAATTATGCAAGGGGGTGGGGGCTCCCCATCTTTTGCTGAAACAATGTTCTTAGAAGCATTTAGAGAAGGTGAAATTCACCTGCAGCTCTCTGCACTATGACAAGGACACCAAGACAATAAAACATAACCAAACCCTTTTCTCATCTCCATTCCAGCTTCGAATGGGATAAAGTCATCCTTCCAGGGGCCCAGCTGAAACCTGAAACTGGATCATCTCCATAATTGTCTCCATTCAAAAATGCATTGGGAGGTGGAAGAAGTAGCAAGGAATGGGTGTGACAGAGAGCAACCCTGCACAACTCAAGTGATTCATCACCAAGGCTCGAGAAGGAAGGGCACAGAGACACAAAAGACCTCTGATAAAATACACATTTATTAGACATTTTCAGCAGCATCATTTCCAGTTGCTTTTTATTCTAATCAAAGTAATTACAATCAGCACTCAAAATATGAGCAACGAAATATTTTGAGAACTGGAGAATAAAATAATCAGTAGTATGTTTCATTCATTCATTCATCCTCCCACCCTTCCATTCATTCATTGTTTAACACATGTGCAATATTAGCACAGAGAACCAGGGATGCTACTTGCTATGGAAAAAAAATGTATATTCATGCCATGGTCCCTGTCATAAAGAATAAGAAGAGCTGGGATGGACAGTCCATCCTGACACAAATGTACAGATTTAGGCAAAGCCCTGAAAAAGACTCAAGAAGAATGTTTTCCCTTTCTCGTCATTGTCAACCAAGGAAATAAATACTCTATAATAATATTTTGTACACAGAGGCAAACACCCAGCTTCACCGGTATCTGTTTGGCACCCCACTTACTGGGGACATGGGTTTGGTTTTAATCAGCTACCAAACTCCAGTGACTAAGGCAGATGACACCTGAGACGCCAGGCAAGGGCGTACGTTGATTTAAGGTCCATCAAGCAGAGAAGCTCATTCAGCGAAATACAAACTCAGTATTGGACATAGGGTGACAGACACGAATGTCGGCTTGGCAACTAGGGAGAGCACATTCAAAACACAGCTGGGGTTAGAAGCCAGAGTCACACAGAAGGGTCCAACTGAATCACTTTTTGTACCTTCCATGTTGTCTGAAGCATCTACAGTCTATGTAACCAACATTAGCCTCTCTCAGTACACTTACTGAGCAAGCTGACATGGAACACTGAACACCGATTATTAGTCTAAGAGCTGGTGTGTAAAAATGGATGCACAAATGAAGCTTGGACACTTTTCCTAGATTGTTCTAAAGGAAATGTGAGTTGTATCTCTTCTTTGACATAATCGAGGCCCTCAACCAACTCCTTTCCTCACTAGATCCTTTACTCTTCAGCTCACCAACCCACTCAACAGGTACTTTTCACCGGCAAATGCAAAGACGTACTAATCCTTCCAAAATTTATAGAAGTACAACATCACCCATGACAACATCAGCCTCGGGACAACATCAGTGCAAGGTATACACAGTACCTCGTGATATTTGCAAAAATATGAAATGGCATGAGTAAAAAAAAAAGACACACAACACACTTTCAACTCTAGGCAAACAGAGAAAAATATATCTTTTAATAAAGTACTGAATGTTAACTCTTCATTTGTCTGTAAAAAATATATGTGCAAAAGTGAGTGTCTACAGATTCCCTAGAGAGCAGGCATGGCTATACATCCGAATCCTCTTTAACAAGGTTTGCAGTATCCTTGAAGGTGTCTTCTGTTGCACTGTAGCCTGGGGTTGATTGCCTTTTTGAAGCTTTAGCGGGGAGAGAAGGTGATGGAGGGGGGGCCACAGTCACACCTTCCTGCTGCTCACTGTCCTTCTACAACCACAACAAGACATGAGTTAGTCACTTACGTCCCCAGCGTGGCCAGAACCTTTGCCAGTTTGTCCCGAATAATCTCAACGCGCGCCAAAGCGGTGAGTGTCTGGGCTTAGAACAGAACAGGGATTAAAAGTTACCTCTGCGTAGATCGGATTTTCAAAATTCGTGGTCTGTTTGGGTTTTCGTTTGAAGATGTTCCATTTTGCACCCTGAATGAAAAAGAGGAGATGGAAGGAGATGAAGTTTTCTGTTTTGTCTTCTGTATGGGTGTCTTTTCCTAGGTTTTTAAATTCTTATTGAAAAACAAAGTAACTTAGGGATGTTGCTTAAGTAGCATATTGTTCGATTCCCCTTCTGGTTCCTGGACAGTAGCAACTAAGACTCTCTCGGCTATTTTAATGTAACAATTTCAAAATCTTTTCTTAGTGTGAATGTGTGGTGTGTGAATCTGGACCCATGTCATCTAGAAGATTTGCCGTGCCACTAGTCGGGTACAGAGCATAGACACACAGGTTTCTAGAGCAGCTGAGAAGCTCAAGAAAAGCTCTCTGATTTCCAAAATTGTCTTGGCCAGAACACCCACTCTCGCTTCATCACAAACGCCATCATCGTGGCCGTCACAACTGACAAACTGACACTTACTGAGTGTCAGGAACTGGTTTAAGAATTTTATGAGGTTCTAATTTTATCTCAAAAATCCCTTGATGCAGGGTTTTCTGTTCCCCTGTGTGACACATAAAGTCATATTAAGAGAGGTCTGCATATTGAATGACCCAAAGACACCTCGTCCTCACAAACACACACACACACACACACACACTTCAGTAGGTTGCCCCCACCCTACTGAAAAGGTGGTTGTAGTACCGGCCACCTCTTTGGCAGGCCCCCACCACAGGCAGCTCAGGTAACCCCTATGTTTTCAAGATGGCTGTGAAATACGGTGCCTGTAGCCCATGACTATGGAAGAGAGGCAAGACCGTTCACCCAACCCACACAACTATTCTGTATGTCACCAACAAGGGAAGATGGAGACATACACAGAGGTCAGAGCCCTTTATTTGGAAAGGTGAAGTTAAGTGATGCCAACAGTCATTGTCTCAGGCTGCAATAACTCCTTGGAACTGAATAAGGCTAAGGAGAGGAATATGGTGGTTCTCATTCCCCAACATCTTTGGGAGATCCCATGCAGGTCAATGCAACTTATGGGAAACAACAGGTCCGAGTATTTTCTGCATATTTACGAAGAAAGCTAAACTTGCAAGACTCCTTTAGACATTAATATCCTCAGTGGGCTAACTAAGGGCTTCTGCTGTCTACAGCCAAGTGACTATTTAGTGTCCCAGGGGTCACAGATATGGGATCCCTGGACCTGCGGGGGGGGGGGGGGGGGGGCAGGGATGTAGATAACAGAACTTGGAGGATCTCCTCTCAGCTTGCACTGAGGCGAAGTGCAAGAACCAATGGGCTGCAAATATGGACAGCTGTGCTGGAATTGGTGATGCTTGGCTCTCATTCTCAACAATCCCTCCATGTCCATCCTGTTTCTGGGGCCTAGGGCAACAGGGAGATGGAGCAGCTTCTTGCTGCCTTACCCCTCTAAGGAGCTACTTCTGACTAAAGAATATTACCAGGACTTGGACTAGGAAGAAAACATTAAGAATAAAAAGTAAGTCTAGCACTGCCTTGGGGAACGAGACTGGGACTGAACATTTGACATTATTCTTGGGACTGTAGAAAACAAATTGTCAATGCCCTTTTCAATGTCCCTGGGAAATAGTAAAGTAAAACTTCCTTTCTGCGGTGTGTGTTTGGGGGGCTGTGACTTTTCTGAGTCACGCTGAATTAGAGAAGATGCTCCTGAGCGAGGAGTCCTACACAGTGTTTTGTATCCGGAAGCACTGTCACTTCGAGTTTGCCCCAGTGAGAGGCATTGGTAAGGACAACAGTAGTTTGCAGAGGTGAAACGGGTGTTCAGAACCAAGCACGTAGACCTGGGATAACCACATGTGTGTTCGCTAAAGTTAGTAGTTATTCAAAAGCACTTGTTGAATTATACCCCAAATATTCTACGAAAAGGTATAACATATATGCTAAAGAAAATTCATCAGGAGGTGGTCTCCCTCCATCCCCTGGCCCTTTTAGTCTCCAGCACTAAATAGTTTCCCTGGCACACTAAAGGCAATAATGTTTGTGGGATAATTGGCTGTACAATTAGGTGCCATCTATCTAGACTCAGAGGAAAAGGGGATAAGTAGTGCCACCTGGTGGTAGACATTGGTAATAGTAAGACTCGAAGCGCAAGTGCTGTGTGAATGTCTCAGATTTGATGTCCTTTTTCTGAAGATAAACTAGACCTGGATTCTGTTTTTCATTCTTTGTACATGGTCTCGCACGGGTTGATATCAAGTTTCAAAGTCCTTTGCAAATTTCTCTTCCCATCGTTACCTGACTTTCATCGGCACCCGGGGAGGCTGGCTTCGGCTCTGGAACGATCTCCGAAGGATCTATGGGACTTCCATAATTCTGGTTTTCCACATTTTCTGATACAGTCACCTGTGAGCCTATTGATGGCCCCTATGCAGTTTTGAAAGAACAAATGAATAAATTAATCTTGAATTCTGTTTGCCGCCTTGTTCTACACACACACACACACACACACACACACATTTGGATACCACAGATGAGTGACCCTGGCAGCTGTAAATACCACCACCACTTGCCCCAAGTGAGAACAATAGCCACGAAGTCACCCTGGCAGGCAAGTACAGTCCTCACTATCACGGTCTCTCATTCTTAGGCCCTTCGTTCCCACTGCTGACCATAAAAGATAGAGGCCCCGCACAACATTCTGCAGCATGGAAAGATTCAGCGGCAAGATAGCTGAGAGCAGATCATGTGACGCCTCACCTGAGCTGCTGAGACCACTTTGGACGTGTTATCCTTGGCTGCATATGTCGGGTTTTCAAATACCACAGGCTGCTTCCCCACCTCCATGATGAAGTGCTCATTCTGGTGGGGAGAAGAGGGAGAGACGTCACACCCACCGATCTGCTTCAGACAGAAAAGTGTCTCCCTCACACTTGACTGCACACCACACTTTCACAAGGTCACCCAACATATGCCGTCTTAGAGAGAGTGGGGGGGGGGGAGAACACAGCAGCGAGACCCACGGCTTCTAGGTAGCAAACCATTATTCCAACTGATAAAAATGAACTAAGCCATCTGCCCCAGGAAGCACAAATGCTCTTCCCATGGCTGGATTCTCTATGGCCCTTTAATGTACGCAACTCGCTGTGGTGGGGACAGTGGAGAAAAGGGTGTTGGTATTGTTCTCTCTGGCCAGGGTGGGAATAGAAGATTGGAGGTGGAGGTAGAGCACTAGAAGAAGGCCCCTCTACTGGGCCAAGGCTGTGCTAGGTTCATCACCGAGAGTGCGACCTGTAGGCACGTTGCTAATCTACACACAGGACCAGAAAGACTAGAAAAGGTCAACCCTTGCCTACAAATGAATACTTAAAAGATGATGGGGTCAGTTTCCACCAACTCTATGGGATACAGAGGACACACTGTGTTCTCCGTTTTAATATCCCCAGGATTAGTTTTTTCCTTGCAAGAAGGGTTTCTTCCATCAGTTAGTGTAAAGGGAAACCTCAACTAATCCCGTGAGAGCCCCCACTCACCATTGCCATGGATCTATCAATAATTGTCTCCGGGCCAAAAGGGGACACGCCGATATCCATGTTAACATCAGTCCCTGATCTGAAGGTCACCCCATTTCCATTTTCAGAGGGTTTGGCGAGGCTGCTTAAGCTGGAATGAACCAAAACAATGAAAACAATGTGTTGCGTTTGTTACGATTAATTTTTAATCTTTGTAATGATTACCTCCCTTCCATAGTACTGAATCTTAAATGTGCAGTTCTCTCTCCTCGAGGCACATGTCAAACACAGTAGCAAGCCCCCCCCCCCCCCCCGCCACGTCTACATGAACACATGAAGGCACGTTCTCAAATCTAAAATCCGAGTAGGAACTAGACGGGGTCCCTTGCAGAAAGCCAACCCAACACAGACACTGACCTTGGCAGCTTGGGCAAAGTAGGTAAAAGGGAACCAGTTTTTCTATAGTGTAAAAATCCAACGAGTACCAGAGCTCCAATGATGATGATCATCAGGAATGTCAACAGCAAAGCCATTGCTGCACAGGGGGGCAGAAACAGAGAGCCAAGGTCACCACCATGACAAGGAAGGGCTAGAGAAGCTAGACTGGGTCAAAAGGAAGCTGGAACTATTGGAAGCTGGGACTATTGCAGGTCACTCATATTCCTGACACTTACTTGTCCCAGGAGGGATGCCACTTGAGAGCCCAACTTCACAGTGTTCCCCATTGTAGCCGCTAGAACACCTGCAAGCCAACAAAAGGAGATTCGGTTACCTTTCTTAGGTCTGGCTGCATGCACAGAGGCAGAGAGGGCTCTGATCCAGTGAAATGCATGAGGGACAGGCAAGGCAGCCAGCCCGTACCACATCTGCTTCTCCTGCCGACCTAAGAGCACTGGTGTATCTGGCGGGGTAGCACCTGTAATGGTGATGAGCCTCGTGAAATAAGCCTGTGGGCATCTACTCTGCTCCATAGAGACAAAGGCTGGACAGGCGGCAGCGGTCTGTCCTCCAACAGCTGTGATGAAGGTTTCCAACAGGCATCCATCTCTCCTATCCTATCAGTTGCTCTCGCGCGCTCCTAAGCCACCATACCGGGTGCTGGTGGGAGGTGGCATGGGAGACGCACTGCTACCCTTTAACTCCTCATCCTTCCACATGACTGGCAGTCCCAAGAGGTGCCAGCAATGCAGCATCCCTGAGAGATGCACATGGGCATTGGAGCCAGATCCTGAGCTGAGTGGGCTCAAGCTAGACATGGTTTGGGAAGCGCTGCAGACTCCCTCAAAGGAGGACAAGCTGGTTAGACATGGAAAACAGTGAACTGGGCAAGCATCTTGCACCTGGTTTCCCAGCTTGGGTTTGCTAGAGGAGCCAAGGCCTACAGCCTACAGCTGGGACCTCAAGAGTCAGACTTACTTGCATTTGGGGAGGTCATTCTCATCAAAATAGCAACTTCCTCCGTGCATGCACCTGCATGGGGGAGGCATGGTGATGGGAAGTTCGCTGGCTGCAGAAAGGAAAAGCCATGCATGGGTTAGTCAGCCACACGCAGCAGAGCACTGCACCATGCAGAACCTGTCCAGGACGGAGGCGGGAGTTTGGGGGGAGGGGGTGGAGTCAGGCCAACTGAGTCTCCCCAAATCAGGCTATCGCCAGCTCCCTACAGCAAAGGAAACTTCCTAAACAGTGATGAGCCCCTGGGGAGTGAGAGGACCTTCAGAGTACTTTCCTAGCTCTAAGCAGAGAGAGAGATGTTAAACCCAGAGCATGTGTGTGTCCCCTGAAATACCCCAGATTCTCTTCTGGGAACCATTAACACAAGAGTTTATTAGACATCGCTGAAAACTGCAGCCCAGGACTCCAGAGCATCGGCAGAGAATCAAGGAAGAGGCAGACACACAGACATAGAGCATGTGCGTGTCCCCTGAAATTCCCCAGATTCTCTTCTGGGAACCATTAACACGAGAGTTTATTAGACATCGCTGGAAACTGCAGCCCAGGACTCCAGAGCATCGGCAGAGAATCAAGGAAGAGGCAGACACACAGACATAGATGCACAAGCACCCAAAGGACAGCTTTCGTGGGCTCTGTTTATAAGGACCCCGGCACTGGATTACTGCTCAAGTTCCCCCAGAATACTCCCACTTGAGGAGTCTGCCTACCCTCTGGGCTCTGAGGGTCTCTTCTCAAAGTCCCCTTATCAGAGAGGCCAGCCAAGCCAATCCCGCCACCCCTGTGCTCCTACTGTCCCTGTCCACTTTTCCATTATACTCTAACCACCTGTCCTTCTACACCATCATAGGTTTGTGGGGGTTTTTTTCTCCCACTAGCATGTACATCTCTGATACTTTCATTCATACCTAGTATTTTATAGGCATTCGGTAAATACCACTGAACTAACTGGTAAGTTCATTAGCAATATACCACAAGCAGGCCCTGTATATTACCGTTAATAGGCTTACTTTAAATAAGGTTCTTTTAAATGAGAATCTTACAGAGTGTTTGTGTTTCTATCACATGGTTGTCTGTGTGCCACATGGTTGTGGTGCCCTCAGAGGCCAGAAGATGTGACCAGATCCCCTGGGACTGTTGTCACAGGCCGTTGTGAGTCATCATGTGGGTGCTGGGAATTGAACTTGGATCCTCTGAACGAGCAGCCAGTACCACTAGCCCTCTCTCCAGCCTCAAAATAGCAGAATGTTATCCCAAGTCCCCCCCCCCCCCCCCCCCCCCAGAACCACTGGAGTGAGCACACGGGGCAGGAGAGGAGATCAGAATCAAAGGACCTTTCCTCCCTGAGCACTTCTCCAAATGAGGGCGGTCCTTGCTTGAGTGCTTGCTCCCCCTAGTGGTATAAACTTTTTTGCCTCTTCATTTCCCCACCAGCTTCATCCAGGAAGCGCCACCCTCAACCCCACCAACCCCCACCCTGGGATGTTAGCCACAAAATAGACTGCTTAGGACACAGAGGATCTAGGTTAGGGATGGAAGACATCATCATGACTTACTAACTATTTAGATGAGCCACTGAAAAATGGGTCTTGCCAAGAAAGCCATCAATGGCACTGAGAACCAAACCACCCCTGCCTTAACCTGGACTTGGTTTCTCAGTAACACAGCCAGCTTCCAAAACAAAGGCCTTTGATAGTTAAAATTCTCAAATGGGCACGTGAGAAAGGCAGGAGGATCCCCCCAGGTTCTCCCCGACCTCCGACCTCCTCCGCTCCTCATACCCTCCCCACTCTGTTCCATGCTAGCTCCTGCACCCTCAGGAAATGCTTCTCTACCATGAGCAAATTCTGGGACAAAAGGAGAAGGAAGAGAGAGACTTACCAAAAAGCCGCTCTTCAAAATTGTCTTTCTAATATAAATGGCCACATGGCTGCGCCCCCCCGACCCCCCCCCCCACAGAGTCTCACCCACTCTTCTGTTTCCCTTATCCCCCTTCCCAGCTACTCCTATTTGAGTCTGCCAAGGTAGTAAATATAGGATCCTCGGGGCTGCTGAAGGCCCCGCAGCTTTCCAGGCAGTGAGTATCCTCACCTGCATCACAAGCCACAGCGCTGCCACTTAAGAAGCCGGAGCCTTGGGGGCAGGCGCAGGTGTAGCCTCCTGGTCTCAGCAGGCAGAGGTGGCTACAGACCTGCTTGCAAGGGTTGGACACTGGAAAATAGATGAGAACATAGTTAGGTCCTGACAGGAGACTGAGTACCCCAACATTGTATGCCTAGTAACTGGTGTGGCTCTGGCTGGCCCTGGCAAAGCCCAAACAGCATCCCAATTATTTCTCCATTGCATATTACCTGGATCCCTACTCACTGGCATTACGATCTGTGCCACCCCATTGAAGTGGCACAATCCTCCCATCTGATTTCTTTGCTATTCAGTCTTTATCATGGCCACTCATCTCTGCTGTTGGAAGGGGGAAATCTTCTTGGTTCAGACCTAAACTTAACATTTATTGGGGCTAAGCAATTTTAAATGGCTCAAAAGACCAATGGGTTCCAAGTCTTATAGCAAGATTTGTCGTTACTCAAATCTACCCAAAGGCCGCCCTGCTTTCTACAAAACTTGCTGAAAGAATTTTATTGTGGGCTTCAGTTTCCTCATTTAAAAAACAAAGGGAAACCAGCTGATTTGACAGAATGAGCTGGGAGCCACTCAAAACGTTGGGATGGAGCCCAACTAGTACCATTTCAAAACTCTACGTAATTCTAGAATTATCGGAAATGTGAAGGATCAAAGGGTTAAATTAGATTCATGTTTCCTAGATCTGTTCTCAGACTAACACTCTGTGATCTTCATTCTCCACCATCCAAAATACAATCACAGTCGAGAATAACTATAAAATACATTTCCCTGAACCACCAAAACCCGTAAGACTGAGAACACCCACACATGGGGTACAATGAGCCACGTAAACAGACAGTTAAACAGTCTGAAACATGCTGAAATTTGAAGGGTCTTGGTCCAAAGTGTGGTCTAGCACATTTGGGATGAAGTAGAAATCCCAAGCTTTTGTCAAGTCAACATTTCTCCAACTGGCACCCAGAGCTTCAGCTGACTGAAAAAGCCAGGTCACCAGGTCACTTAAGACACAGACTATTATATTGAGTGTTCAGGTGACAAGCTGAGAAAAGCCTATCGCCATAAGCCACTCAAGGAAACTAAAACACACATTCACCAATTGAATGAGACTCCCAGCTCCTGGGAGTCTCAGCTCTGAGCTGTAATTTCCTGAGGCTAACACAGGGCCTCAGAACACCAGAGAACTCTGCCCAAGATTCAGAAATACAGTTTAGATTGGAATGACTAATCCAAGCCTACAAAGTTCAGCCAGAACCAGGATACAACATTAAACCAGATGAGAAAAAAACCTGAGCTTGGGATTGGATAGACTTGAGTTTAAAGGCATCTCATTAAACGTAGAACAAGTAAAGCAGCAGCTATCAGTTTCTCTAAAAAAAGAACCTGGCACTGGATAACTTGGTAAAGGCTGATTTCTTTCCTCATTTTCTCCACATGATGCTGAGACATGTTCACTAAGAAGTGGTACAAAAATAAGAGGAGTTATCAACATTTTAAGCTAGGGTTCACAAGACTGAGTACCTGGTTTTGCTATTTTAAGAAACAGACACAACTTCTGACATTCGTGAAACAGACCCACATGGTGATTTCTTAAAGCCAGGACTGATGTCTGCTAGATCCTAGGACGTCAAAAGTCTATCTCCCAACAAGGACTGACTGAAACATTTCTAACGGATTTTCCCTGTTCATGATTAATGTAATTTCATTCAGCCTATAATGTTCTCTTTCTGCATTTGAAATGTGTGACATGCCCATGCATACCCACTCTCCCATCAGGACCACCATCATGCGCTAATGCTATAGCCATCCTTCCAAGACTGGGTGTCCAGTTCATCGCATCCCAAGACTGTGTATTACCTGACTGATTGTATCTCAGTTGATGGAAGACTCGAACTTGCGTGAGCCATGGGTTCACCACCAGCACCTTCGCTTTGTTTCCTTTCCCAAATTTATTCTGTCTCCACACTTCTCCCTTCTCCTTAGCTACCCAGTACAGCTGGTCTTCAAAGATGTCCAGGCTGAATGGCCTCATTGCTGCTCATCAATAGTGAAAAAACAATTATTATATATTAGTGAATGAAACAATCCCCAGCACTCCTGTGACTGCTGTTGTTTGGCTTGAGGTAATAGCTAGCTAGCTGGACGGACTTCCTGGAAGGGATACGTGGAGCTCTAGATAAACTGGATTATTATAAATGGTCTCACTTTAAAGCTGCTGATTTTATTCCATTTTTAAAAAGTGGGATGAACTGAGGCCCTTCCTGCTTACCAGATAAGACAATTCTGGCCAATTAGGGGAAATGTGCTATGTGCTGGACTGTTACAGCTCTGTTTTGGATTTTCGACAATAAAACAAAATACTCCTTTCCTTCTTCATGTTTCTAGTTGGACACAAGAACACTAGCACACGGAAAATGAATGTGTCTAGACGCAGTTTGATGTAGATTAGGAAGGACACATATTTAGCATGTGGAAGACACAATCTCAGAGGAACCTAACAGAAATCTTACCTGATACTGCTGCTTAAAATTACAAAAAGGATTGTTGTTATGAATTCATTTGCATTTAATATAGCAGTTGGGAATTGATGGGAACAAATCTGAGGAATCACATCAACCGTATCCTAAGACACACTGAAAATTATTAGACAATTATGAATATGTAAACTGTGACTCATTCCCAACCTTCGTTTATGATGACTCTCCTGTCGGTCCCATCATATTTTATTGTTTCAATCACGTCTTCTTTGGAGTCGCTCCAATAGATCCGGTCATCGTTCAGATAATCTATGGACAGGCCATTTGGCCAGCCAAGGTCCTGAGAAACCAGAACAGTGCGATGTTCCCCATTCATCCAGGCAGACTCGATTTTAGGCTGCTTTCCCTGGTCGGTCCAGAACATGAGCCTGTAACAGAAAATTCCCAGGTTGCAGCATTTTGTCTAGTGGTGCTTCCCTAGTACTGTGGCACAGGGAATGTCAATGGTGCAGCCAACAATTTCCCTGAGAGTGAGTTATACTGTCTTTACAAAGATGACTCTTGCCTTCTAACACATGTTATACAGAAGAAGCAAAGTTCGGTGCTGAGGTCAAGTCCACATTAGGAGTTAGTACTTCTCCGGGAAGCACATCACTACTAGGGGCTATGATTTCACAAGTGAAAAAGGAATAAAAGTAATAACAACTCATATGTTTCATATACAAACATAGGACACACTGGTCCTGCCCAAACAGCAAAAGTATCTACTCAAAATAAGGAAGAATTTAGGTGTCACTACACAAATGTCTACTTAAATGTCAAAAATCAAGAAGACCAAACTAGCACTTGTGTTGTGGTCAACTGCCATTTAAAGTATTTCTATAAATAATGCAATGCATATGCATGAACATGTCTTTTATGTATTTTTCATACATAAAGTTTTTATGGCCAGTGTAATATAACCAAATTGTTATCTGAATTTCAATCAGCAAGATACCTTTTAATGCATTCCAATGAAAGGGAGTCAGATGAAATGAAAGCAGACAGCCTCTCACATATATCCCAAAATGGAATTTCACCATTGGAAACTGTGTGTGGGCTAAAGCATCCCTTCAAACGCTTACCCTAGCCTAGGATTCACAACGATGGCAGCTGGCTGATCCAGATCAGTAGTAATCAGCCACTTCCGGTACCTTCCATCAAGCATGGCCACCTCAATCCGCTGGCTCTTGGCATCTGTCCAGTAGATATGCCTGAATGGAGAGGGGCAGAGTTAAACAACAGAAAAGCCTGGGCCAATCATTGAAGAGAAATGTGTACACGAGAAAACTGGGTTTATAAGTTCTGGCCAGTGCAGAAATACTCAGATGCCTGGAAGTTACTCTGTGCCTGTAGTGGATACAGCAGATCACAAGCCTCCATGGGCAGATTAAGGCATGTGATTTAATTCTTACTGCCCAAGAGTCTGTGTCCCTTTGGCAAAGAGCCCAATTTTAATCAAGAAGAATTGAGCACCAGCCCCAAAGAGGAATGGAAAGAACATTTCAAATTAACAAACTCAGTACAGGTAGCCTGCCCTCTTTCCATGTCTAAGGCTGCAAGTTTTTCCTACTAAGCAGAGAGAAGGCCTGTAACTTAATTCCCTCATTCTCTGAGGCTCTATAGCTTTGGTACTATTTGGTACCAGCTAGCTTAGATACTAAAAACTGTGTCTTGTTCCTTTTTCCAAATAATTACCAGTGGGAGATATCTTTAACTAATTGTCTTTGAAAATTCTACCACTGAATTAGTCAACGCTGCCAAACTCAAAGTTAGTCTTGAAACACAGAATTTTGACCTGGGTGCTTTTCCCAAACCCTTCTGTGGCACACACTGAATATAGAAAAGGACAATGTTTGTATTGCACTCAGAGGTAATTGTATTGCACGCAGGGGTGATTGCTGTGGCCAGAGCAGGCCCAGGCACAGTAACAGCTGTGCTTGTGACTGAGTTCATGCACCTTGGTGAACTTAAACCAGCACTCCCCCGTGAAAAAGAAACAGACCAGAGAGATGGGGGACATATTTACCTTCCAACCCAGTCCACGGCTAATCCATCTGGCTGCATTAAGTATTTCAGGCCCAGGTCAACTTCACGAATGGGATTATTGCTACCAGATTCAAAGTCAGGAATGTAGGCTCGTTTGATGGCGCCAAATTCAGAGCCCTGGCCCAGCACAGTGTAATAGAGAACACCTAGAGAAGAAAGTACAGTGAGAGAGGATCTTGGAGTGGAGTCATTTACTGATCTCTCTGCCTCATTTCCATCTTAATTCCCTTACATCAAACCGCAATAAACACATTATACCTGTGTTACTAACAAGAAAGGCTCGGCTTATCTCTTGGCAATACTTTCTTAATAATCTCTATTGGAAGATAAGTTTAGCTAAGGGGCTAGTTTTCAAAACAGATTATATAGAAATCACACTCCTTTCACAAAGGTGAAAGCCCTGTATGACAGCATACAAAAAGTGTTTTATACTCAGTCTTAACCAAAAGGCTGAGAAGTTATTTAACCTGCTTATACATATGGCTTTTTCCTCTCTCCAAGACGAGATCCTGCTATGTAGTGGTTCATGGTAGGTTCTTTGACATGCAATTCTCCTGCCTCCCACCTCTAAGCACTGAGGTTAATCTAATTATACACAGATTAAGACTGAGTCTCAGAGCATATTGGCTTATACCTCTTCCCTATCATTCTTGAAATAAACATATTACATTGGATAAACAAATGTGAAAAACACAAAAAAATACGGTTCAATCTTCAAAGGGCACACAATCAGAGAAAATCATGCAGACAATTAGCTGCAAAAGGCATCATCTAAAAAAACCAGAAAATTCGACACAATGTGTGCAGATCTTATACTCACTGACACCCGTGCCCTCGGGGTCCCAGTCATAGTCAACGGTTTGGATATGTTCCCCCTCTTCCAAATACTCGGAGAACTTCTCAGATGAGACATTGTACTTCCGGATTCGAACGTTCTCGGGCAGGAGCAGCAGAGGAGGGTTACCTGTAAGCAAAAAAGGGCTGCTCTGTCTAACCGATTCCACTTGAAGTCAAGGAGGTATCAACACACTGTAGGTATTTCTTTGGGGGGCAGGGAGAAAAGGGAGAAAAAGAGGAAGTAGAGGGAAAAGTTAGTTTTAGAGAAATCTGACCAAAGCTGACTACTCTGCCAGTCAAAATCCTCGGGCACCGCTCTTTCCTTTCTTTACTATTTATTTATTTATTTATTCCTTTATTTATTTTGCCACCAGAGGCAGTTTAGACAAGATCGAGACCACTACAAAGAGTTCTCATTTTTACTGCAAGTCTTTCCCTCACCCACTGAAAGGACCGTAGACTGAATATCTCACAGAATAAATACGGTATTCACAACCCTCACTCTTGACTGACAGGTTTTGTGATTGTCTTAACAGGTAATCATCCCCATAGCCCAATTTAACTGCCAGCTAATGAGAAACAAGCCAGCTTGTTCTTGAGTTTGCAGGGTTTTTTCCTAAAGCCTAAAGTAGCTCTTTCAACGGTGACTCATCCCAAAATACTTCTCCGGAATTTTAAGATTTTAATTTACTTGCAAAATGTCAATCAAATGTGATTTAAGTGACTTTTAAAAGTTCGCTTATTATATATTTCCTCAGACTTGACATTATGTTTCATATGAATATTCTAATTTAGTTCAGCTATCCCCTTAGTTAAAAGATTTAAAAATTTTTAAACTTGCTACTTAATTGTGGGACCGGCCAGCTGTTCAAATGCCTTCACTCTAGGTTCTATTTGCTCTCACCCTGGAGGACAGAATACTAATCAAATGTACACTTCGAGCACTCGCCTTACACGGTGTACTGGTGTAGAGGTTTTGGCCACTTTAACTTGCTATTTTCTCAGTAGGTTTCTTAAATTCTAGCACCAATTTCAAATCCTAAACAAGACTATATACTCCTTAACTGGGAAAGGTTGATTTAAGCCAGATCTCTGCAATTTGGAACATAATACTTCTTCTGGACTTATAGTCTTTCTCTTTTTGACATTTCCATTTAGTATTTATTTATTTATTTATTTATTTTTTTTTTTTTTTTTTTTTTTGGTTTTTCGAGACAGGGTTTCTCTGTGGTTTTGGAGCCTGTCCTGGAACTAGCTCTTGTAGACCAGGCTGGTCTCGAACTCACAGAGATCCACCTGCCTCTGCCTCCCAAGTGCTGGGATTAAAGGCATGCGCCACCACCGCCCGGCTCCATTTAGTATTTATGGTGTTCTTTCTTTAACTAGGTTCTTAGATATATATAGGCATTAACCTGAAACCAACAATATTCTGAATGTGCCTGCCTTGCTTTTTGTGACCAGCAGTTCATGAACAATACCAAAGAAATATGTCAGTGTCCCGAATTGGTTCACCTCAGGTTTTGTGGCTTCAAATCTTCAGTCACACTGGACTGGGTACTACCGTATCATCAATTTGTTATATTTTGCTACAACCCTCCTGTTATTTGTGTCTCCTATTTTAGAAATTTCTATCCAGGTATAGAAGAGGCTAAATTCAGAATAATAACTAAAATCTGTCTTTTAATTAATTGTACACTTTCGTTAGAGGGCAATAGTTTAGAGTCTAAAGCTAACAGAAGAAGAGAGAGAAAGTGGAAGCTCATTTCCTGCTACATCCTACTCTTCAGGATTTCTGTCCCTCGGAAGTGAACCCGTCATACCGTCAGCGGCACACCGCTCTCCATAATGGCTACTCATAGACTGGAAGCCATCCACACAGAAACATTCATAACTTCCTTTGCTATTTCGGCAGCTCTGGGGGCAGATGCCAAATTCCTCACATTCATTGATGTCTGCAGGCAAAGAAAAAGAAAGTGTGCAACATGGATTCCGACCCAGTCAGAACTGGAGTTCACAAGCCAAATGGACTAAGAAAGAGGACATGTGAAAACAAGCAATGAAACCAAAATAGGTTGATGACATAGTTCACAATAAAAAAAAAATCCACAGTAAACTACTATTGACCCTAAAGACCCTATGCTGCTCGACAATGGACAGGATTATTTTAACCAACGCAGCACAACTTCATACAATGGTAAGGCAAATGTTTCCTTGCCAAAAACACCTATATGGCTGGTATTTGGCACTGCTTCTGTTCTGATAACTAAACAGCTACATAACTTCATACAATGGTAAGGCAAATGTTTCCTTGCCAAAAACACCTATATGGCTGGTATTTGGCATTGCTTCTGTTCTGATAACTAAACAGCTACATAACTTCATGCAATGGTAAGGCAAATGTTTCCTTGCCAAAAACACCTATATGGCTGGTATTTGGCACTGCTTCTGTTCTGATAACTAAACAGCTACAGGAAGACTCATTCATTTGGTATAACAACTGAGCTGTACCCAGTACACATGATGCCCTAGATTCAATCTCTGGTTTGAATGAGACACAGTAATATGCATGACGAAAGATCCCTGAAATCATACGCTTCGCTGACAACCTTGATGAGCTACCTACTGAGCCCATGTCACAGAACCCATTGATACCTAAGTAGGTATGTGACAACCACGTGGGTTGTGACTTGGGATGAAATGCTGTGATTTCTGGTGCTTTTACTTCGTGGACTGGTATAACGGACAGCCGTCACCATCAAGACCTTCATTATTTGGCACTGAGTGAGGAAACCACATTAAGGAACTTATACAGTGGTTTAGTAATAAGGCAATAAACAGAGACCATAAAATGTAAATTTCTCTAAACAACAACAGAAGGAAAATATTCTACCTTGGCAGGAATTTCTGTCCAGAGTACTAGATTTGAACCCAGGTCTACAGGAGCAGATAAATCCTCCGTTGCTTAACTGGGTACAGTTCTGTTCACAGATGTTTTCAGCACATGTTCTGTTTGTTCCTAGATCTGAAAACAGAATCATAAGTCAGATCAGCTACAAACACGCAGACATATAGCCAACTATACACAACCTCCAGATGACCCATTTCCAGAGGTCCTGAAGCAGAGTGAACCTAGGTTCTGTAAGTGGTCTGGATGCCATCTACACAAATGTGTAATGGTCCTTAAGGCCATTTCCCATCATAGCTGTAGCAGTACCAGGCTCGGCCTCAGAACATCCAACCAACTCCATCAGATGTTCTTGCTCATTCATCTTATATAAGCAGGTAGATAGGTGTTAGGCAGATTACACACACACACACACACACACACACACTCATGCATGCACACAGATGCAAGCTAGAAAAATGGTGAGTATAATTATTCCAATTATTTACTGGTTAATTGGAAGAATGTTTATCAGGATGTGGTATAATACACAGTCGTGTTACACAATTTTCATACACAAAACGCTTATGATAAAGACTGAATCTAAGCTTTTAATAATCATATCCAGGTTTCCTTTTCTGTTTTTTTAAGGCAGTTAAGTGTGTTGGAAATTTGTTCATATGTAGAGCCTTAAAGAGCATATAAGAGAAACTTATAAGAGAAATTTTATTATTTTATTATTATTATAAAATTTCTTTTATATAAATAATAATGATAATAAAATAATTTTATAATATATGTGGATCTTAAACTACTTTAACAATACTCCTGCTTGACTGCCATTATAGCTGAGTTTTTTTTAACAGATCCTTTTTTTTTATTATGTATACAGTATTCTGTCTGTGTGTATGCCTGCAGTCCAGAAGAGGGCACCAGACTCCATTACAAATGGTTGTGAGCCACCATGTGGTTGCTGGGAATTGAACTCAGGACCTTTGGAAGAGCAGGCAATGAATGTTCTTAACCTCTGAGCTAAAGAAACAGTGGAATCTCCTGGTTCAGCTCAAAATAGATTTATTTCTCTCTTTCTAACCATGTCTGAGGATCTCTTATGGCCTAGTGAAGGTTTTCATTTGTATACTTTGGATGGATTAAAAACACTGAGTAGAAGAATGAATGCCCTTCGCTGCAGATAACTACATATTCCTAAACAAATAAACCTTCCCAGTTTTCTAGCTTTTCTGAGTAGTTTCGGTGTTTTGAGTGTGTCTGAACTGTCTACTTGCCAAACATTGGTAAGATCATCATAATTTTCTCTCTTTCTAGTGCCATAGTCTCTCTGCATTGAGATAGTCTCACGATTGTGTCACTGGGCTTTGTGCCCCTCTCTCAACTCTAAAGCCCAGCTCTAAAAGGTCAAGAATGAAGAAAGTTCTTCCTTCACTGAATCATACTCTTTCAAAGCAAGCGACCTTAACGAGAGCAGGGCCATCGCAGGTTATGGAATGAAAGATTTTCATGTAATGTCTTTCATTTGAAGACCAGAAACATCAAAAGGAACATCTAGCCATCACCCTAATCCATGGAACAGTGGCATTAGGGCTAGGCATCCAGCTCAGCGCTGGCGGTTGCCTAGCAACCAGCCTCTACGAAAAGAAGCCTATGGCTGTCTGTTTACAAGACGGTCGGTCTCACCAGTTTCCAATCTGTGAAAAGGGAATAAGAGAGCAAGTCACTCTACCTTTATGACCACAGAAATATCTTTGACCTGACATCAGCTTATTTCCTTTATAATTGGATGGTGCTAGGAAACTGTTCATGTCTTTCCATGCCGGGAAATGTAGCCCAAAGCACATTCAACACTCAAGTGAGGCATGTTTCTATTGGCAAACATCGTGATGCATTATCTTAAATGTTTAAAAATCACAAGTGAAGCATTCTATAGAATGTGAAGGAGGGAATAGATGGGGAGGGATAGAGACAATAAAATTGACATTATTTATAAATAATTCTATACCTAGCCAGACACATGCCTTTAATCCCAGTACTCCAGAGGTGGAGGCAGGCAGATCTCTATGAGTTAAGGCAGGCCTGGTCTACATAGTAAGCTCTAGGACAGCTAGGGCTACATAGTGAGACTCAGTCTGGAAATAAAACTTTTAAAAAAGAAAGAAGAATTCTACACTTGTATCAAATGAATAGCATATATGAATTCTATATCACTACACTTATTGTGTGAAAAGAAGTTAATGCCATATCTCTTATTTCCTCTAAGTAATTCCACTTGAAAAGAAAGTACACAATAGATAAACACAGGCAGGCACGGGCAACAAGAGAAAGCCACAAGTCAAACTCGGAAATTGGCTAGCCTCCTGAAGAGCTCTTCGTGTTGAAACCCAAATCTGCCACCCAGCTTCATAAATTCTATTAAGAGTTTAATCAAGTAATTTCATCTTGCCAAACCCTCCATGTCCCGCTGAGGGAGTATGGGATACGTGGCAAACCAACGCATGGTCATTTAGTAATTGTCAAAAAGTCTTCTGCAGGCCTCAGGGTGGGGGTGGTGTGTGGAGGGGAGACCATATCATGAATCTGAAACCAAGAAGCTGAAAGCACTTGGAGCTAACATGGCCAATTTCAGACTCTTACTGGAGGCCTGAATTTCATCCCTGAAATCTATAGAAAGGAGGAGAGAACCAATAACCCCCAAATGGGGCAGACTATAGCATGCATGGGTACACATACTAACAAGAGCTAATTAACTGACTGATTACTTAAAGACACCAAGGATTAAAGATCAGACTGTGACAGAGGGAACCAGAGGTCACTCTCCTTGCATATATATCATATATATATGTATATATATATATATATATATAGAGAGAGAGAGAGAGAGAGAGAGATCATATATAGAGAAAGCATATATACAGAGGGCATATGTAGAGAAGGCATATAGAGAGGGTATGTATATAAGATAATATATATTATTCCGTATTATATATGGAATATATATAAGCTATGAAGGGAAATCAAAAATATATACTACTAATATGTCCTCAACAGTGTCAAATAAACCCAGTCCTTCCCTTGATTATGTTATCTCTTCCAGCCCAAAGTCTACCATAATCCTAGTAGCTTGGAGGCAGAGGCGGGAGAATCAGGAGTTGTAAGTGATCCTCGACTACACCTGTGTCTGAGACCGGGGGTTGAGCCATTCCTGAGTGTATCTCGTTAATTTACTATAATGAAATACAAAGCTAAATGTTTACTTACTGCAACCATTTTCGTCAGAAAGGTCACCACAGTCATCGACGTTGTCACACACATAGTGCTGCGAAATGCAGTTTCCATTGCTGCACTTATATTCAGTTTGTGTGCAAGGTCTCTGGGTTGGTTTTCTGCCTGCAATCAAAGAACAAACTTCATTGAAACAAAATGCTTCAGTTCCTCTACTCACAAGTAAATGCATGCTTCCCTTCTTTCGCCAGGCTCCCTTGCAGCTAGACTGAGACCAAATGGCTCGTTCTAGCCAATGGCCTGTGAATTGGAAGTGGCATATGTCACAATTGGACTGAAGCAGTTAAAAGCCCCATGATCCCTCGTGCTGTCCCATATGCTGGGGCTATAACCTTGGCAGTCAGGTAGTCAGGTGATGAGCTCCAAGCTGGAGGATGCTATGCAAGCTGTGCTGCCCTTTATACAAAGGAGAAAGAAATCTTTGTTGTGTTAAGACTTGGACATTTGCAGCAGCACCAACTAATCTGAGTAACACAGACTGATGAGAGAAGTGGACTCTCCCAGATCAGAAACTGAAAGCACTGGGCATCAGTTTAAGCGTCAGGACGCCCAGGTTAGACAATGGCAAAGCAGCTGGGAAGAGGGAAGACATACCACGTGCTTATGGGGGAGAGGTTTGAAAAGAGTGAGCCCAGCCTGTCCTACAAACAAAGAAGGTCGGTGAGAAACTGTTTGGTGCCTTACTTACCATGGTCTTTTCAGCTGGGCATGGGAAGGAATATACACTCACATACCAGATTAGCAATTAGCAACTAACTATCAGGGGTAGAGTAACCAAGTCTCATTTTGGACGGTGACTAAACCAGCATTTAGTCTTCTCTCATTGGAAGTAGCTTATTAAATGTTTAAACAAAGACTAACTTTTAAGGGGCATGTCAACATCTCACTCAGGTGAGATGGGAAGGGGGTGACAGGAGCCACGTATGTGTTCGTGTTCTCTGAGATACACTATCACAGACACAAAGCAAGCCTCCTCGGCAGGGCAAAAGGAAACCCCAGAAGAGCATCTTAAAACATCTAAGGACCCTGGTTTCTGCCTTCCCCCTTTCCCGTTTTGCTTACAGTGTTCTTCTTTCTCATCGGTCCCGTCTCCGCAGTCATCCACACCATTGCAAAGCTGGTGACCATAAATACAGCGACTGTTGTCACACCGGAAACGATGCGGCGACTCACATGGAACATTGACTGAAAAAAACAAAAAAAAAAAAAATAAAAGTAGAATAACAACCTTCTCTACTCCAGGCTATCCCATAGGCCCACTTCATTCATTCATCATTCATCCATCCATCCGCTTGCTTATCTGATTAATCTCAGATACACAACACTGTTGCGGGTGCTAGGTATATCCTAGATAGAGAGAAGAGCAAGAAAGGCTCAGCCTTTATTCCCATGGCACTTCATTCAAGCAGGAAGAGACTTTACCTAGAGGTGGAGCCCGCTCCTAGGGAACATGTATATGAAATACAGCACAGGGAGGCGGGTCAGAAAAGAACCCAAAAGGGAAAGAGAAGAATCAGGAAAGAACATGGTAGGCTTGAAACCTTTATAAAGATCTCTATGGCCAGGGCACAAATGAGGGGGGCACGTGTGGGTCATGGAGCTGCTACTTGTATTATTTGCTGTGGATGGCTGGTAGAACGTTAGAAAAGTATGCTAACATTTGCTTGAGTCTCTGCCACTCTCTGTGTGTGTCCCTGTGGGTGTGTCTGTCTGTTTGTGAGTGTGAGCGTGTGTGAGTGTGTGTATGCACACACATGCACACTCTCATGCACATGTATCCTCACCTCTCCAAAATTTTCTTGGCTATGGCTATTTTGCCTTACAAAGAGAAGTATCTCCCTAAGAGCTTCTCTAAAATGTCAAGCCATGAAGTTAAAAACAAAAATAAGACACAGATCTGATTAGTTAAGACAACATCAGGCAGTGCTGGAAGGCCACTGTGAAAATACAGTCATTGGATGTTCTCTAGGAAAGAAGGAAACATCAATCCTGGGAATCAAATCTCTGGACCTAGCCAAGCCCATGAATTTGCATTTCTCACTTTCCTGAGCAATGCCACCATTCCCAGCAGGGGAAGACAGGGTGAGAATTATTGCACTAGCTTTGCCCTAATGGCCCCAGACAATAGCAATTTCACTCCATCTGTAACTCCATTCCCAGGGGCTCGGACACCCTCTTCTGGGCTTAGGTAATGTGTTGCACAGACATACATGTACCTATGCACATTTAATCTGAAAAAGGCCCCATCCTTACAGATTCTGCCTCAGAAAATGTGTGTGTGTGTGTGTGTGTGTGTGTGTGTGTGTGTGTGTGTGTGTGTGTGTGTATTATATATGTGATGGTCTTGAATTATGTAGATAGAAGTGGTTTCAAGGATCAGGTCATGGGTTGATCTACAAAATAAGGGGAAGGTGCATGTCAAGGAGGGAGCAGAGGAGACCACAACCGGTGCTCCTGCATATGTGTGCGCTTCTGGCTTCCATGCTTGCTACAGTCTTAAGGCTCAACATCGTGGATTTTAGAATCTGCGGTTGGAGAACTAAAGCCAGAAGACAAAGTGAAATCACCAATACTGGTTGTGCAAAATGATACCGCTGCCAGTTCACACACTGCCCTTGAGGAGCACCGAGAAGGTTGCCCAACAGGGCGGTGCCCGTTCCACCCACCCCTCTCCCTCTTACAGCACAGGTGAAGTTCCTCATCAGAGCCGTCAACACAGTCGTTTTCTCCGTCACAGACCCAAAACGACTGGATACACACGTGGTTTTTACACTCAAACATGGCAGCTGGGCAGTAGGTGCCGTTGGGAAAGCGAGTAGCTGTTGGGGAGGAGGGGAGGCACCCATGAGACGAACATGCCCTACCTATTAGGTCTCCCTCCACTTTTGCCAACGTGGTTCCCTGTTATTCATTACCCTGTGGTTCTGCTTATCGTAAGATTGAAAAGGGATGTGTCTTGGCTGAGCACTGTAGCACGCGCCTTCAATCCCAGCACTCGGGAGGCAGAGGTGGGTGGATCTGCTCAAGTTCAGGCCATCCTAGTTCCAGGGCAGCCCCCGTCTCTGAGCCCAGTTTTCAGTGACACAAATAATCCCATAGGCACCAGCCACCTACATTGGAACTGTCTTTTCCCCATCATTTTTTAATGTCTCTTTGAGCATTAGAAGGTGACACATGCAGTTAAATATTTATTCAGTGATTCAAAATACTAAGATGTGAGGGATTTTGTTTTTAAAATGATCTTTAAACATTATCGTGCATACACCATAACACTGTAATGCTGTAGATTCTCAACCCAAGTTCTTTATACGTGCTCATTCATAGCTATTGCCTTCTGCATCTGAAATGCTTTTGTCCAGTTAGTGATTTGTACAATAACCAATAATGCAAATTGTTAGTACATTCTACTTAAAATATTGTTGATAATTTGCATTTGAATGGCCCCTGCAAACACCTGGGATCCTAAAGGCTGAATAGAACACACTTATGCTTCTAGGATAAGAGGTGAATTGTGTCTAAATTGCCATTCCCGTGTGCTCGGACACGCAGAAGCTCAAGCGAGCAGGCACTTACGACAACTGGATTCATCGGAAGCGTCCAGACAATCTGCTCTCCCATCACACGTCAATGCGTTGGGCACACAGTGTCCACTCGCACACTGAAAATGTTCGGGGTGGCACGTCTTCATCTCTGAAGAAAAAAGATGGTCTCGTGGCAGGAGAGTGTGAGGAGGCCATCATCGCCTCCTGCCCACACCCTCTGGCTGGCTCACAGCTCAGTCAATGACCAATAAAACAGATCAACTTCTCTATTCAGCGTATGGAGGTGGGCACACCTATCACCTGTTAGCAGATCTCACCGCAAAAAAATAATAACAATCCCCAAAGTCAGCATTTACTCAGATTTTCTGTCTCAATTCTCTGGCTGCTTATACCATGGTCACGTGACCTGTGTTTATTTAGAAGCCCAATGGAAATGAAGGTCGGCTTCTGGGTCACAGCTAAATTAAAACAAGATACTCTTTCTGGCCAGACGGGGATGGCACGTGCCTTTAATCCCAGCACTTGGGAGGCAGAAGCAGGAGGATATCTGTGAGTTTGAGGTCAGCCTGGTGTAGAGAGTGAGTTCCAGGACAGCCAGGGCTACACAGAGAAACTACTTTTCCCATCAATAAGATCAGAAAATGCAGACTAGAGTCCCTGCACCGTCACAGGGTAAGACTCTGTGAGCCCCTGATAGTTACCACAATCCCGTTCATCCGAGTTGTCTCCACAGTCATTTTCTTGGTCACAGACCCATCGAGAGGGGATGCATTGCTGATCTGCACATCGAAACTCACTCTCTGTGCACTCCCGAGGAACTGGAAAGAAAAGCCACCCGGCCATGAGTGTGCGCTGGGAATCACACTGAGGAGAGAGGTTGGGGAGATGCCTAGGCCCACGGGTACCCAGTTCTGTCCTGTGTTCCATTCCCATTCTAAAGCCTTTTCTTCTGACTCACTAGGAATGGTAACACAGCTTTTAATCCCAGCACTTGGGAGACAGGGGCCAGCCTGGTCTACCTACTGAGTCCCAGGACGCCCAGAGCTGTATAGTGAGGCCCTGTCTTTAAAAACAAATCCTTTCCTCTAAGTGTGCTTTAACTGCAATTACAGCATTTAATATGAACTTTCTTAATTACCTTTCTGTTCATAGAATAGTGGAAAGAGAACCTAGGGTATCATCTCTGACTCATGCCCGTATTTTCACAGTCTCCCTAGGTTTCCCAGGTTGTTCTTGATCTCATACTTTGACCCAAGCATATTGGGGTTTCTTGCTTCAGACTCCCACATGACTGGGACTACCCTTTCATATTAACAAGTATTAGCAGGTTGATACTTGCTGGTGTGATCCATACGCTAATTCTCCCAATTGCCTCCGGTCATGAGCCAGTGATACGTGCTCAGGTGGAGCTCATTTTCCAGACACAAACTGAACGCTTAGTGTAGCGCCATCTAGACATACGGCTTCCTTCCCCCAGGCTCATGTCCCATCCCTACACGTTATTAGACCCTCTACTAAGAGTTAACTATTCCAGGAGTGCTAACCATGCAAATAAGCAGAAATACTCCTTCCCCTGCTATTAAGACCACATTGGGGAAAAAGCTTTCGGTTCAGGTACTAAGGGCCAGTGCTTTTCCTTACTTTCTTTTTTCTTTGTCATTTGTCAGAAAACATCTCATTTGTGTGAGGGAAAAAAAACCAATTTGAGGAAATAAATGCAAGAGATGAAAAGTAGACTTGATCAAATAATCCCCTTCACAAATACCTTCTCCCAAAGCTTAACCTATTAGCATTTCAGAAGCCACAAGAAGGGATGTCCCGCTGTCCGAGGATGAATTACAAACAGGCATCGCAGCCCTGCTGGCTCCTAGGATTGCGAAGTCCCCAGCACTCACCACAGCTCTCCTCATCGGAGTTATCACCACAGTCGTCATAGGCATCACACTGCCAGCGGAGAGGGATGCACTGGTGGTTTCTACATCGGAAATCCCCAGGACCGCATGGCACAGACTCTGCAGAGCACACGCAATTAAGACTGCATAAGCCAAGGTCCCAGCTTCATTACGATACAGTCTGAGAATTATGTTTCCATATGCTTGAAGCTCCCAGACGTAGGGACACAGAGATGGCCACTGTCAGCTAACCTATTCTCTACCTTTGGTGGAGAAGAAAGGCATGGCCGCTGTGACTGGCCCTTAAGGTGTCAGGTTTGTAATGGGCAACAAAAAGCTAAAACATTGTCAGTGGCTTAAAAACGGAGTCAGTGCACCATTGCCTCTAGTAAGTTTAGACCCATTATCTTTTTTTCTCTTTCAAACAATATAAACTAAGGCACTTTGATTTCAAGAGATAGTATATACCCAATTTCCATTAATTTATTTGGTCTTTTGTCCACAATTTCCATAAATTCTTTCTGTGTTGCCAGAGTGACTACCACTACCCAATAGATGATTATAAAAGCCACAAAGGCTGGTATGATGGTCATAAAATAATGCATCCAGATCTGGAAATCTCTTGAGGCATATTGTGCCTTCTACCATCTATATGAGATCAGACAAGCTATCTAGACCTGCCGTGTCTGAATAAGGATTCTATACTGGGGAGACATTTTAATGATATTTTCTTTAAATTATTACATGTTTTTGGACCAGATGTCATTTAAGATGACACGAATTAAGTCCCTTTTCAGAGGTGAAAAGACACCCTTAGGAGACAGCAGCACTTGACACTGGCATTCTCTTGCCCCTCCCCCACACCTGGAGCCCCTCCTACCACAGCCTTGCTCGTCACTGTTGTCCCTGCAGTCATCGGCGCCATTGCACACGGCCCACTTTGGGATGCAGCGGTAGTTAGTCTTGCAGCTGAATTCCGTGTGGTTGTCACAGTTATAGGCAGCTGTCACTGAAAAGGAAGAAAGCAAGAAAAGAGAATGTGAGTGGGTGCCAGTCCTGCTGTCTCCTCACATGATGCCGGCGTCTGCAACTACCATGTAACCACCAAACAAACTCTGGGCATCTCTGATGATGCTGTGTAATGACAGAGCCCTAATTTTTCTTGCTATCTCAGTCCCGTTCACTAGTGTTGTGATATGGTTTGGAGTGGAAGGGATGTGGTGGTTTGAAGGAAATGGCCCCACAGGTCCATAACCAGAAGCACAATCAGTAGGTGTGTCCTTGTTGAAGTGGGTGTGGTCTTGTCATTGGGATGGGCTCTGAAGTTTCAAAAGTCAAGCCAGGCCCAGTATCTATCCCTCTTCCTGCTGTCTGAGGATACAGATATAGAGCTCTAAGCTACTTCTCCAGCACCATGTCTGTCTGCGTGCTGCTGTGCTTTTATCCGTGATGAGAGTGAACTAAACCTCTGAACTATAAGCCAGCCCCAATTAAATGTCCTCCTTTATAAGAACTGCTGTGGGCATAGTGTCACATCAATAAAACCACAACTAATACAGAGCATGTACTTGGTTTGAGTAAATTCCCTGAGCTGAAATGCTGGTTCTGTGGTCACGGCCATTCACTCAAGTGAGCCTCACTTTATTCACTTATAAAATGATTAAGCCTTGGTTTCTGATCAGTGTTTCTCACATACCTTGCTACTATTGTGTTCTGCGTGACACTTAGTGCCATGCTGGGGAGGTACGGCCAGGGTCTGGTTACAAATAAAAGCCGCTCTACTTCGCTTTTATCTCACAGCGATGGAGTTTGCAACAGAAGACAAGAAAGGGTATCCCCTTCCCCTGGGCTGAAGTGGGGGGTGAGTCCCCACCTGCTGGCCTCCTTGCTCTGGTCTTGCACAGTCCGCCCCCCGGGAACTTACTGCATTCGTGGATAGGCTCGTCGGAATAGTCTCCACAGTCGTTGTCCACATCACACTTCCAGCTCTGAGGGATGCAGCGGCCGTTGTTGCACCTGAACTGGCCGGGCTTGCAGGTCCTGCTGCCACAGTGCGAACTCTCTTCATCCGAGTTGTCCTGGCAATCGTTCACCGAGTCACACTGCCAGGCCTCTGGGATGCAGCGCTTGTTGGCACACTGCCATTCGTTGGCTTCACACCGGTGATGCTCTGCAAGCAAGGCATTCAGTTACCAGGCGAGAAGCTGTCAGTTCACACCGGTGGGGTCTAAAGAATTCTACCTTAACTTCCTTTCTCTGGGGTTTACACTCTAGGCTCTTATTAGACTCTGAAACTGGGATTATTGCTATTCTCTTCTTTCTTTGTTGTTGTTGTTGTTGTTGTTTGAGACAGGGTTTCTCTGTGTAGCCCTGGCTGACCTGGAACTCACTCTTCTCTATAAACCAGGCTAGCCTCGAACTCACAAAGATCCTCCTGCCTCTGCCTCCCAGGTGCTGGGATTAAAGGTGTGTGCCTGGCATATTGCTACTCTTGATGTATTGAGGTACCGTTTCAATTAAAATACAGTCCTCTCTCATTTTAAATGGACAGGGATTTGTCTTTCTCAATGTCAGCTCAAGGAGGATCCTATCCTAGCACTACTACCCCATCTACGACTATTACCCTAGAAGTTCAAAACCTCTATTAAATACAGGATGGACCCTAACTTTTCTCCAAAAATTTTTTGAGCCAGATTTTGGGTTGATGCTACAGAATCAACTAAAGGATTGGGCAAAGAGGGCAAAAACGTACCACAGAGAGCACGGTCTTCATCAGAGCCATCGGCACAATCCTGTTGAGCATTGCACAAGGCCTGGGGGCTTGTACAGTTGCCATCCTGGCATTGGAACTGTCCCAGACGACAGAAGCGGTGCGGGCACGTGTCTGGTTCATCAGAACCATCCGCGCAATCTTTCTGCCCATCACATTTCCACCATATGGGGATACACCTGCACAAAGATAGAAAGCTTGTAGAAACTCACAGAGGACCGATGACGTAAGCAATGTCCACAGGGAGAAATGAATTGGACCCTAGTCCCAAGTAGTGGGGGAGGGGAAGGGATGGAGTTTTGAGCGATGCTTTTAGAAGCTAGTGGTTAAAAATTGTCTACCTAAATGAAAGAAGGCATATGAGTATTTTTTGGAAAGCTGGGGGGCCTCTAATTGATCACATCATGGAACACAAACCGAGCTTTATCTCTGTTTATCTCTCCAGATAGTCCAAGGAATTGGGGGGGGGGTGTCTTTATCTGCTCTAAAACAGATTTTGGGCTAATATCCAGAATTTACAATGAACTGCAATAAACCCAAAAAGCAAAATGACCATCAACAAATGGCCTAAAGAAATGAACGGACGGTTCTCTAAAGAGAATAACACAAACAGCTAATAAGCAACATCCCTGGGATTTGCATATGCAAACGCAAATTAAAACTACCACCAAACCCCAGTGGCTCTCTTGGCTATTACCAAGAAACCTGACAACAAATAAGTATTGGGGAGAGAAGAGCCCTATTTACTACTCATGGGACTGTAATCTAGGGTACTAAGGAGGGTAGTTTCTGAAATTAAAATAGAATTCAGCTAGACTGCTCTCCTATACCCAAAGATCTCTGTATCCTGTCAAACATGTATTTATTACTCTATTCATTTACAATGCCAAGGAAATGGAACCAGTTATGAATAGCTAACTATGACACAGGCACATCAGGGTTTGTCCAGTTAAAGAAAAAAACGGCATTAGTAGGAAACAGATGCATCTAAAAGCATGAACCCTGCGTGACACAAATGAACAAAAAAATGGACCCCCTGGCAATGGTAGCACTCTGGCCTCAAACCTCAGGACAGTTTATTAGAAATCAGAAACAGTACTCAGAAAGCTGAAACAGGAGGATTGCTGTGAGTTTCAGGCCTGCCTGGGCTAGGCCAAGGAGCTACAAGCAAAAATTTGTCTCAAAGAAAGTCAGAAAACTCCCTGCCAATGGCCTCACAGGTCAATGTTTGCCCAAGCGGGGACCAGCTATGTGCCGGGGGGAACGGGCGCCTCACTTCTCATTGTTTCCGCAGAGGAACTGCGTGCTGGAGCACATGGGCATGCAGAGCGTTCGGCCTCGCAGCTGAACAGTCTGGAAGTCGTCTGGACACTCGCAGGTGAAGCCTCTCCCTCCGGCTTTGATGAGGCACAGATGAGAACAGCCACCATTGTTGGTACCACAGGGGTTGCTCACTTGAAAGGGAAGAAAGCAAGCGTACCCGGTCATATAAGTTGGTGGTTCTGCGTTCATACACCAGATTTCAAATGTGAGTTGTAATTCTCGGCAGATATTATCAATTCCTCCCTCGTCCTAACGATTTAGACAAAAGAAGCTTGGACACCAGAGGCATGCAGATAGCCTGTGCCTTGTCTTTCTCAGTTATTGCTTCAAGACAAGGATTAACTTAACTTCCAGTAAGCCCCTATGAAAAATATTAACATTCAGAAAGAAATACTGAGTACCATTGATAATTTTCATCCTCCCTTCCAAGATGCCATGACACAGCAGGCCCAGAAAAGCCACTAAAATTATACTCCAGATCTAGAAGATGTGTGCTCTGCACATTTAGAAGATGGGAATAATATTTGTGTGACACAAAACATGCTGTCATATTTCATAATGACTATAATCTTCTTTTAAATTTGATTTTGTTATTAAGGGATAGTTGATAGGTGTTACAATTGCATACTGATGGAGATATAAAATGTCCTCATCTTTCAGTGCATTTAGGGATGAAACCGGTTAATTGTTTAGCTCACCTTCAAATACAACAGTCCTCCCACCAAAATACTAACTACGGGAATGCCTGTGATTAGGGGGCATGATCACGACTGTCACGTCACTTCAAGGCCAGTCTGAGCTACATAGTCTAAAAGCCAAAAGCTTGAGCTGTAGCTCAACGGTAGAGGCTTATCGAGAATGCACAAGGCCCGGGTTCTACTGCAACACTGTACAGAAATGAGCTTCTCCTAATTCAAGATGTGTTTCAATGACGTATCAATGAGCTTCCTGCAAACCATGTTCCATAAAGCAGCTACACCCAAGTCCATTGCCAACGACTCACCGATCGGCTGCCTGTACGGATGGTACACGTGGATGTCAAAGGGTCTGTGCGTGGTGTTCGCCAGCACCACCCTATTTGACCCATCGTACTTGTTCCCCTTTTCGATTGTCCTTGTATTCCAATCCGTCCAGAAAATCGTGTCTTCAAAAACGGTGAGAGCGAAGGGGTGAGGCAGAGTTCCATCATACACTGTCTGTCGGTGGTGGCCATCCAAATCAGAGAACCTGGCGGCAGGAAAAGCAAGGATGTAAGTAACACCTCTCGTCTAAATGTCATCCAGGACCAGTGAGAGAACTGGATTCAAGTAAGAAAATTCTTCTACCACTCTGAATCTGAGGAAAGCAACAACTAAAAGTCAGAGTCAAAAATTGGAATAGCCACAGCTACTAGCTGTGATGTGGGTATTATGGGTTAATAATCTTGTGTGCTAAGAGGAGCATCATTCTCTTGTTACCTAGATCAGTGTGTGTGTGTGTGTGTGTGTGTGTGTGTGTGTGTGTGTTGAGTTCTGAGTATATGCAGATGCCTTCAGAGGCATCAGATCCCCTGGAAATGGAGTTACAGGGGGATTGTGAGCCATTCCACATGGGCCCTAGGAAGAAGTGAACCCAATCCTCTGCTATGTGAATTGCTGGGTCAACTCACTACCTCTTGTCACCCTGCCCTCTCCTGGATTCGCCTGTAGGTAGTGTAAGCTCAGACTGTGAACAGTAGAAGTTCAAAATCATCCTAGCTGCATAGGAAACTTGAGGACAACCTGGTATAGATAAGATTATGTCTTAAAAAACAGCCCCCAGTGGCTCTGAGTGTGGATACACAGTTGTTGAATCCCCAGAAAGCACAGCCCTGCTTGGTTACTTAGCTTTTCCTCAAGGTACATACTCGATGTAGCCCAGGTGAGCATCTGCCCAGTACAAGAGATCATTGGTGTAGTCAATCGTGATGGCATTGGGCCATGTAATCTTGGTAGAGATAATCACGGATTTATTGTTCCCATCCATGCCAGTTCTCGCGATGTATGCTCGGGAACCCCAGTCGGCCCAGTAGACATGCCTGCGGGAGAAAACACAGAGGGAAAAGCTGAAGCCAAAAGCTGTTCTCAAGTTGGAGAAATGAAGTTCCCAACCATCCCACAGAATCTCTCAAAGAGGAAAGAGATCTGGCCAAAAGTATCCACAATGGTGAACAGGTGGTCCTCAAAGATGGACGACTGTGGATTTCAATGGCTTTGCTGTAGGGAGCCTACAATTTTCTTATGCATGCAACTCAAAATACGAACAGTTACATCCTTGCAAAGACAAGAGTTCAGCTGATCATCATTTGCGTGAGCCACACTACTCAATGCAATAACCCACTCAAGCTGGAAAAACAGAATACGATCCCAGCAAGATCCCAGCCCATAAGAAGCTAATTGAACAGGTGGTTAAAGAAGAGGTGCAAGATGACAGAGAGGCGGTACCCATTTTGAGGATGAAGGACAATTCCCCTGGGATTTTCAAAGCAGAAGGTATTGTTGGCATCCACACAATGCTGGGCTAGCATTCTGCGGTGTCGGCCTTCAAGGTCGGAGACAAACAGGCAATCCAGGGCGGCATCCAACCAATAGAGTTTTCTGCAGTGGGAAGACAGACCTTACCGTGAGAGTCACTTTATTTATACACAACAGTTCCTATCCGAACTCCCTGAGGTTCACACATACAGTGGTTACAGGACACTTTTCACCAACAAAAAAAAGGGCACAGAGAAACAGGAAAGGTTATTAAATGTTTCTACATACCCCAATTAACAGTTTTACAAATTCCATAGTTGAAGAGATGGCTCGTTGGGTAAGGAGGACCTGAATCCTCAGAACCCACAGTAGTATTCTGTCCCTACCGTAGACAGACAGCCAGGTGTGTGCAGTGTTCTAGAGGTTCTTACCTGCTGACCCAATCTACAGCCAGACTTTCAGCACGTAGTAATCTGTGGCTTATGATCGTCTCCCGGTTCGTCTTATTCAAAAACATCCGCTCAATGATTTTCTTCTCGGCATCAATCCAGTACAGCCTCTTCTCTACTCTATCAAAATCCAGGGCCACCACGTTGCCCAGGCCTTGCAAAATCAGGGAGTAAAACGCACCGTCTGTGGTTAGGTTTCTCAGATAGTACCGGTTGCTAAAGATGAGGTAGGGCTCGATGTTGCTATTCTGCCGACAGGTCCTCCCATCTGGCTCGCGGATGTAGCCCGGGGCGCACTTGCAGATGTAGGAACCAACTACATTCTCACACTTCTGGCTACAGAGTTGGGGCGACTCCTTGCATTCATCGATATCCACACAAGTGCGTTTGTCGGGCATGAGCTTATACCCAGGGAGACAGGAACAGAAGAAACTGGTTATGGTGTCTGTACAGTTGTGGTCACAGCGACTGATTGACGAATCCTGGCACTCATTAATGCCTGCAGGCAAAAGACAAAGTTACTAGAGATCCATAGGCCCACAGCTTCACCCCTGCTAGACAGTACTCCTGCTAGATAGCGCTAATTCCTAGCAAATCAAAATGAAAGACGACAAGAGGCAGCCCAGTGCGCTCACTGTGATAGCCACACTCTGATGAATCACAAGCTTCAAGTACGATGTGTACATTTGCCTTATAGGATAGGATAAGACAGATGGGTATCTATCACACGTGGCCTAGCCCACCCTATAATCATCATACCCCTAAGAAGTTCATTTTTGTAGCCATATGCTAGTTTAATTGTTTGGAGAAGGAATAATGTATATGCAATTAGAAGGAATCCTGCTGACTATGAATCTGGATGTTTAGTGGGCTTATAAGAGCTCATTTCCTTTTCAAGCCAAACATTTAAAATTGTGTTGTTTGGATCCTACCGCACACAGTGTGTGGCAGTGCAAGCCTGCAATCCCAGCACATTGAAGACTGAAGGAAGAGGATTGCCTGAGCGACATAATAGACAGGCATGCTGGTGCCTCTCTCAAATCCCACAGCACTGGGACAGCCTGGTCTACACAGTGAGTTCCAGGCCAGCCAAAGCTGCAAAGGGAGGCCATGCCTCGAAATACATGTGATCCAAATAAAACATTTCTTAAGTTTTAACCAATAAAAATATAATGAGAACTCGACAAGGAAAAGGAAGGTGAAAGACAATTAGAGTCTCAAGCTTTTAAATTTGTTACGGGAACACCACCATGCAAGACCAACCAACTCCACAGAGAGGATGAACCATTGGTGGTATGAAGTTCACACAGGCAGAATTCATGATAAATTTTTAGCTGGCTAAATTTGGTTGTGAGTATGAAGGGAAGACTAGAATGTTCCAGTCTCCTAAGAATTAAAATGAAGAGCTTTCTGGATGTCTTATTGAGCAAGCCTCTTAAAGAACACCTTGAATATTGGTCTATGCTGTATACCAAGTATGGAAGCCACAGCTGATGGAGGAAGGCCATTGGCTAATAAAGGAACTGCCCTGGCCCATTTTATTGGTTAGAGGATAGGTGGGAGGAGTAAACAGAACAGAATGCTGGGAGGAAGAGGAAGTGAGCTCAGACTCGACCGCTCTCCTCTCGGGAGCAGATGCCTGAGAGAGACGCCATGCTCCTGGCTCCTGGGCAGATGCACGCTATGAAGCTCCGACCCAGGATGGACTAGGCTAGAATCTTCCCGGTAAGATCGGTTCTCACAGATTATTAGAGATGGGTTGATAGAGATAACAGGATTAGCCAGTAAGGGCTAGGGCTAAAGGGCCAATACAGTGTCTGTGTAATTATTTTGGGCATAAGCTAGCCGGGCAGGCGGCCGGGGGTGCTGAGAACGCAGCCCTGCCGCCCCTATTACTACACACAGCAAGTTGTTTGTAAATTTCCTACGTAGAAAACATACTGGAAGTCCTAAGCAACCCAAAAGGGAGGAGAATGTACACAGCTCCATCCCCCACCCCGGACTCACCGCATCCTTTCTCATCACTGTTGTACACAGCTCCATCCCCCACCCCGGACTCACCGCATCCTTTCTCATCACTGTTGTACACAGCTCCATCCCCCACCCTGGACTCACCGCATCCTTTCTCATCACTGTTGCCCACAGCTCCACCCCCACTCCGGACTCACCGCATCCTTTCTCATCACGGTTGCCCACCGCTCCATCCCCCACCCCGGACTCACCGCATCCTTTCTCATCACTGTTGTCCGAGCAATCGTCCAAATGGTTACAGACTTTCCCCATGTCGATGCAGTTCCCGTTGTCACAGCGGAACTGGTGAGGGGGGCACGTGGGTTCCGGGGTGTGGCAGAGGTGCTCCTGTTCATCTGACCCGTCTCCACAGTCATTGTCCTCGTCGCAGACAAAGTACCTGGAGATGCATCGCCCGTTCTGACAGGTGAACTGATTGTCGCGGCAGGGTGGGTATGTGCAGCCCCTCTCGTCGCTGTAGTCGCCACAGTCATTGCGCCGATCGCACCTGTGTTAGGAGACGCAGGACCACGGAGAGCATTTTAACAATCACCGTACGTTAGCCTACAAAATATTCGTCCACCCCAATCTCCAGTTCTAGAACAATCCATGGTTTGGCATTCGACAAGTTCCCCTGGTGCCTTAAGAAATATGGTGACAACGTTTTTCACTCACCATTTTGTAGGGCATATTAACACGATTCAGACATTTGTAGCTCATGGGATAGCTAAAGGACGCTGGGGGCTTTCTCAGAGAGATACGTTGTATAGAAGTACATAAAATGTGTGCCCTATAAAATTGTCCTTGGATGTGCCTTTTCAGAACACCTATCTTCCCACTGGAGTAATGCTTGCATTGGCAGATCCCTTCATATAGTTCTACTGGCACCTGATATGATATGTGAGTTAGATATGGTAACGGGAAGGAGATTAAAGCCAGTAGTTTAACAAGAAATATCTGTAAAGAAAGAGTGTATGAAGTAGTCCTGATTCGGATACCTAACATCCCCAGGTTGCTAAGGGTGACACAGGCTCCTCAGGTGCCATGAGCCACGCTGGTCTATGTTCTCTAAATTCCACATAAAACGCCATGCTTGCTGAACAATGTCATGGTGACAATGCTAATAGGATAATTCAAACAATAGAATGAGGGCAAAGGTTAGTGGCAGAGTGTCATGAGATATTAAGGCACCAGAACCGAACCTAGTCAATTTTACAAGAGCGCCATGGGCACTAGGCCCTGCAATGGGCATTTGGGGTATAGAGGGAAATGCTTGAATCCCAGTTCACCTGAACGATTGCATGATACACCGCCCATTTGCACAGGTGAACTCTCCTGCAGAGCAGCTTCTCCTGGTGCAGTTCTGCAGCTCATCGAGGGCGTCGCCACAATCTGCATCGCCATCACAGACCCAGGACTGCGGGATGCACCTCCTTCTTGGAGGCCGGTCATTTCTGCAGGCAAACTGGAAAGCGGAGCAGTTCCTGAGCGCTGAAACCAAAGCAGACGAGACTCTCTCAGCTTCTCATCACCCTTTCTAACACTCTGAAGGATGAAGAGCAATGAGAATAAAGGGGACAGAGATCATAAGAGAGCTGCATTTTTCAGAAGCAAAACATCTACATAAAAAAAACTCTTAGTTCTCCATGAGATCAGAAATCCACTCCTATTTTGAAAATTTGAACAAATAAAATATAATTAATATAATTCATTAAATGTTTCATATTCCATTAGTGGTTTGGTGCCAATTTGCTGGATGAAAAAAATGGTTTATTGGACGTCTCAAAGTCAGACAAAAACCAGAAAGAGGGGTCAGACTTGTCTGTATGTACGAGTTGCTGAGCAAGAAATAAGATACTCAGAACCACTCAGGCCTTATCCAATCCCACGACAAACAAGACATAAAAGCAAGAGAAAATGGTTCCAGTGAGGCGGTGACAGGGGGGGGTGTAAAGCTGTGGCCACAAGTTGGTTCTCAAAGGCCAAGCCTCAGGAAACTCTGCCCATGCTGTTCTAAGATGTTAAATCCCCTCAGGCAACGAATAAAAATCCGGCATCAATGTTATGGGTATAACAACTTCTTTTTGCTGGGCGGTGGTGGCACACACTTATAATCTTAGCACATGGCAGACAGAGGCAGGAGTATATTTTCATCCAGTATATTTAGTCATATTTCCCCTCCCCCAACTGTTCTTAGATCCCTGCCCACATCCCTAGTCACAATGTTCTCTTTCTCTCAAACAGAACAAAAGAGATGAAACAATTTTTAGAAAGCAAGAGTCAAAACACCAAAAAAAAAGACCAAAAAAAAAATTCCAACAAAAGAAAATGAAACAAAAAAAAGTTCATTTGTATTAGCCAACTACTACTGCTGGGCATGGGGCCCATACCGAGTGTTGATATACCTACTTACATTCCATTATCTATCGCGATAGTATCTCTAGTAGAAACTGGGAAGATCTGGAGGGGAAAGAATATGATCCAAATCTATTATTTGGAAGAAACAATGGTACTTGGTGGCCAACAAAAGACAGAATTTTCCTAGCCCCGTGTGGGTGAAAGGGAGCACCAAGTCATCTTGCACATGTGAGCGATGATGTCACACAGCAGAAAATAGCATGCAATTTCCTTGTCAGTTGGACACTCCAGCCACAAAAATCAAGCCTGACTTTGCTGAGCCGTGAAGAACCTGCCTTCACTTACCGCACTGATGCCGTTGGTCCTCATCGCTCATGTCCCCACAGTCGTTGTCATCGTCACAGATCCAGCTACTCGAGATACACCTGCCATTGTCACACTGGAACTGGTTAGCCGAGCAGGTGTTCACAGTCTGAACTGAAAGGAGAAACACTCAATGATAAGACTGGCTTGCCTGCTTGGCGTCTCTATGTGAAGGACATTCAAATCTGGTTTATATCATGGAGGAGCTGACTCACATACGTCGGGAATACACAAAGTGTCACAGCTGCCATTATTATAATTATTATTATATTATATTATAATAATATATATTATTTCTTCTTTATTATAATTATTATATTATAATTATTTCTTCTCCCTACAGATACCCAAAATTCTATATCTATATATTTTTCAGTGCTGAGGTAAGGATAACAGATGAGGCCCAGATGAGGGCCGGGCACCTCACTCCACAAACTGGCATAGTGTGCCTGCTAAGTGCCCTCCCCGGTGTATGTGAAAAATCCTATAGTTTTACAAGGCTCAGACAGAAATTTAAACCATGTGTCAGCTGAAGTTGAACTCTGCAAGCCAGACGACAATCAGTTCACGGGATACCTCACAGCCCCACTCATCAGCGAGCACCTTCCATGGTCTCATTGGCTCCCCGCAGACCCTGCGCTAGCCGCTCTCTGATGAACACCCACAGCATGGTTTTGGTAACCCTTCTGGGAATAGGAGCCGGGAGGGTGAGCACCCAGCCGTGTGGCGCCAGCATTTGAAGTGAAGAGCCCCGGTTGCTCTAACTGCACCCTTTGCTTCGCGTGGTTGCGGACTCTTACCACAAGTGTCCGGTTCATCAGAGCTGTCGGGACAGTCGGCTTCGCCATCACAGTGCCAAAAGTTTGGAATACAGCGATGACTGGATACGCACCGGAACTCGCTGCTGCTGCATGTTTGTGCGGCTGGAGGACAGGCACAGATTAGAACACAAGTGGGCGCCCTTCTGTTGCTCATCTGTATCTTTAAACTGATTAATTGCGGCCAGAAAAGGTTGGGGTTTGGGAAATGGCCTTCTTTTCTAAGCTTCTATGGGGATGAAGGAGTTTATTGTTTATTTATTTATTATTTAGGTTTTGGTTTCTTTTTGTAGCCCTACCTGTCCTGGCCTTGAACTCAGAGATCCTCCTACTTCTATCTCTCATGTCCTGTGTTTAGGGGTTGTGTACCACCATGTACAGCTTGAATATGTTATATTATATTAAATTTATTAATAAAATAATAGGTGAATTATATTAAAATGATAAAAGTAATAATACCAAATCTGTCACTCACCACAACCTTTTCATCATAATTAGCAGAATTCTCACCTATTCATTGGAGCCTTACACAGCCATTGTCACCTAGCTTCTAATGCATGGGTACAATATTAGAATGAATATGAAGTTCGGTTTTTAGAATGAATATTAGAATGAATATGAAGTTCGGTTTTTCTGCTCTACAAAGCTCCGCCTGCCTGGTCCATTATAACTGACAGATTTCCCGTGAGCACTTACTGGGAAGGCGGTAACTGAATTCTGGTTATTTGTGCGGCCACTACTGTTGTACCTGATCGCTGCCCTGGCAGATGCTTGTTTTATAGTCCTTGGACACCGTACCAGGTTTCCAGAATATAGACGAAGCATGAGACTTCAGATTCCGCCACTCATGTCTTAAAGCAACTTCCAAACTCAGTTTCTACGGTTAAAGCTAGCACATTCTGTGAAGTACAGCCATGCCTCTGGTTTTGATCCTACTCACCGCAGTACATGGGGTTTTCATCGCTCATATCTCTGCAGTCATTGTCCCCGTCACACAGGAAAGCCCGGGAAACACAAATATTTGTAGTTGCGCACTTTATGTGGGTAGGCGGGCAAGTACGGGGAGCTTTAAAAAAAAAAGCAGATATATCACAAATATATATCACAGACAATGTTTATATTACCAGACCCAGGCAATGGTTCAAACCCCAGGAAGGCACAGCTCGTGTGAGCGGTAGTAACTCCAAGCTGGCTCTGGAGTGGCAGAGATGCGTCTTACGGAAGTAAGATGTACTTACGGCAGTTTTTCTCGTCTGTGGTGCCATTGTCAAAGCAGTTGTCAACGCCGTTGCAGACGCGGCTGAGAGGGATGCAGCGCCCATTGCCGCAGGTGAACTCCGTGGTGCTGTTGCAGCTCCTGAACAGGCACCCCACCTCGTCGCTGTTGTCACCACAGTCGTCGTAGTAATCACAGCGATAGCTGTACGGGACGCAGCGCCCGTTGCCGCAAGTGAAGGCTGTTGATCGGCACGTGTGAAAGGCTAGGGGGAGGAGAGACATTGGAAGGAGACATCAATTGATGTAATCATCGGAACACGTCCTGTATCATCAGAGTCAAGGTCTGGGCTCTAACAGAAAGCCCATCCAGTACACCGTGGAATTTCGCGCCAAACAGTTGCGCGATGACACCTTAGCTCCTCACAACAGCACGGAGTCCAGCTTACCACAGACGGTCTCCAGCTCGTCACTGCCGTCGCCGCAGTCATTGTCATTATCACATTTCCAATCCGGTGGGATGCAGCGCCCATTGAGGCAGGTGAACTGGGACTGGCTACACCGGGTGCCTGTGTCCGCAATGCAGTGCTTATCATCGTTGGCCAGATACCAGCTGCCTTCGTGTGGGCACTGACACTCGGCTCCATTTGGTCCTGGGGCAGGGAGAGGTGAAGCGTAAGCCTAGGAACCGGTCTTCGTCTTTTCCAGAACGGCATTTACAACATCTTAGAAATGAAACACCATCTACCTTTCAGCTATATTCTGCGTTGTTCTTTAAAAATAACTACTGTCACACACACAATGGTTCTCATTTTTGCGAAAACACAATATCAGGAGGTACATTTCCTATGAAACTGTCCTCATATTTAGGACAAAAATATCAAACTATAAACAATATCTCCTAAAGGGAAAATTTACATTATAGAATTCCTATTGAAATCAGGAAGCCAAAACCTTCTTACTCTTTCCCTCCTGGTTTCCACTTAAACCGCCTTTACAGAACCAGTTCATGTAGAACAGAACAAAACCCTTGGTCCATTTGACAAACAGCCCGCAACTAAGAATTTCCATTTGTTTTCTGCTTAGAACTAGTATCCATGGGTCACCGTCATTGTTGTTGCTACGCCATGTTCAGCCCTTTACCTGGTGCACAGATATGGCTGCACCCTCCATTAAACTGGTCACAAGGGTTGCTGCACTGCTGCTGCTGTGTTCTGAGAACTCTGGAGATCCCCCTGGGCTGCACGGGCAAAGGAGTGGTCATCGCAATCAGAGCTGACCCATCGTATTTGTTGGCACGGTAGATCTTCTTGGTGGAGATGTCTGTCCAGTAAACGTGCTGGCCGTAGACAGTCAAGCCAAACGCGAGAAAAGTGGTGCTGACAATGACTTCGCGGTTGGTGCCCCTCAGAGTACTGCGCTCTATCTTCTGCCTGGAACAAAGAGAGAGAAAAGCAATTGCTGAGATGGAGAAAGAATCACAATGGTTAGGCGCCTGGCAATTGCTTATGCGGCTTCCAATGACTGTGCAAATGGGGCAGACATATATGGTGCCTGACTTGTGTTTCTCCCTTGGTGATAAGAAGTCCTGTTTGCTTATCACACCCCGGCGCTCATACATTGTTAAGGACAAGCCAGGCTAACATTAGAAGCAGGAGCAGCCCATGAACAGATTCCCATAATGCATGGGACCTGGCGTGAAACGATACTATTTCGGAAATTTACTTAGAATGACACAAAACATCCCTGCTGTGATTCAAATGAGAGAATGAAGGGGAAAAAATGAGAATATTTCATCACAAGACCAAAATATTCAAGGGAAGAAGTAACTGTAACGAGCAGAATCATTTCATCCCTTAGACTCTTCCATGGGGAGGACGCCGATGTGGTTACTTGGAGACATCGCATAATTACACTACTAGTGTGCCAGAGAAAAGGGATTGATTTGAAAAGAGGGCCCAAACCAACAGATGTTATTCAAATCTGATGCCTATAGTCAGAAATTGAGTAATGCCATTATAATGATAGGTACACTTAAAGATGCAGGTAAGATCTCTCAGGAAATAGTCACAAAGCTAGAACAGGCAGCATCTCTCCACTTTTTCCGATTTTTGTCACATTAAGCAAGTCCCTCCACATGATAAAGAGACACCTACAGGCTAGCATCTGCCCAGTAAAGAAGGTCAGTCTCAAGGTCCAAAGTGAGTCCGTTGGGCCAAACCAGGCTGGTGTTCACAATGGGGACGCGGAAGTTTCCTCCCAGTGTGGCTCTCTCGATCTTGGCATTAGTACCCCAGTCAGTCCAATACATGTACCTAGTCAAACAGGAGATAAGATTAATTCACAACAAGAAAGCCTTTAAAGACCTTCCCACATTCTTTCATTGTAAATATCCATCAATTTGTAAGGAACTCAAGAGTACGCCATTCCTTTCCACACATGGATGTTCTGAGTCAGGCCAAGTTAAAAAAAAAAAAAATCACTGAGATCTCTGTTTCTCTGCAAGTTCATAGATATTATTATTTATGCAGTAATTTCTGGTACCCACTCCCCCTCAATCAAACAGATAAACGAAGAAGACCACGTCATACCCTCGGCAAGGATCTAATACGATCGCTCTCGGTTTGGAAACACGGGCTATCACTGCACGCTTAGATCCATCTTCAGCCACAGAATTGATCGTCTGGTTTGTATAGTCACTGTAATAAATTCTTCTGTTTATCCAGTCAAAGGCAATCCCATCACAAATACCTATATCTGGACACAGACAAGGAGAGATACACATATATAATCACATAAAGATGCTAGACTCTTAAAGTGCATTAAAAATACTCAGTATACTGACCTTATATGTACTGCCAAGGTGAACTCCACCTGGTGTGCACTTACCTGAAAGTAGGACCACTGGAGAGCTGGTCCCTGAATACAGGCTGACATAGGAAATCTGGCCACGGACAGAGCTTAGCTTTTGTGTGAAGAAGATTCTATTATTTCTGTGGTCATAGTCCAGAGCAATGGCGGTTCTTCTCACATTTATCTCTTGGAAAGGTGGGCTATGGTCTTCAGGGTCAAAGTGTAAGCTCCTCAAGGAATTGTTCAGGGTATAGATGAGAAAATCTTCTCTTGAGGTGGCACAGCTCTTGCCATCGTCTCCTAGAGCACCAAAGGCACACCCACACTTGGGGGTGGACAACTCAGGTAGGGCAAAGCAGAAGTGGGCACAGCCACCATTACTTTGCAAGCAAGGGTTGTTGTCAAGATCTGCTGCTGAGAGGGGCTGGGCATGCTCATCAAAGACGGTCACGTCCCGTAGCAGGTTGATGTTGTCTCTTATCACCACAGGTGGATCTGTATTCCCTGGTTCCTTGCTAGCTTGGAAGACTTTTTTCAAATTTCTATCAACCCATATGATATAGTCTCCAAAAACGGTGATTCCATATGGCGTTGGGTAACGACTGCCATAACGAATCACCTGAGATTCTCCTCCATCAAGATGGATCCTGGCAACTATATCTAAGGAATCGTCAACCCAATAAATATAGCCAGTGCTGTGGTCCATTGCCAAGCCCCGAGGTGTGACGATGCCTTCAGAAACAAGGACAGTTCGATTGGTACAGTCAAGAAAAGCACGCTCAATCTTCGGTTTCTGCCCATAGTCAGCCCAGAAGAGATATCTACTCTTGGGGTCAACAACAATATGCCTCGGCATATCCACTGAGACCTTGAGGAGAACACGGCGGTAGGTGGTATTGATCCGCAGCACTTCTATCAGGGTTTCATATACAAAGGCGTTGGTGAAGTAAAGATTTCCTACGGGGAAAAAAAAATTAAAAAAAAAAGAAGTTGACAAATGAAAAAGCAAGAAGGAAGAAAAATTAGGGTGAACCATTTCTGAATAGAATAATGTAAGGTGGAGGTTTGATCACTTGTAAACTTATAAAAATGAACATTTCTCCTTGGATTAAAGAGAGTACTTTTGGAAATTTAGGGAATATTTTCATTCTCTCAAAAATCTTCCGCTTCCTTCTAACGGAAAGGAGCGCACTATGTAAGTGAGGATGAACTCAGCTCTTGATATTCCTGCCCTCTCTACCAAGTACAAGAAGTCAGGCATAGGCCAACACTCCCAGCAAATAGATGGCTTCTCTCACGAGTATATTCAACTCTGCCATTGTCCAATGACAACAGCCATTGACCACACCAAATGAATGAGCTTATTTTGGCACAGTGAAAGTGTACAGAAGCCAAAACTGGGCTACATCTGTCCCGTTGGGCACACTGTGCTGACACTGCTCAGTCCCACCACCAGAAACAGGGACAGGAATTTGGACTTATCTAATTAAGCTCCTATATTTGCTATTACAATTCAACTTTATATTTGAGCCATATCTACTCATCAAGATCAATAATATATAATGGTCTCTGTTTGTAATATAGTAATATAGTATTTCTCAGAGCACTGTTAAGAGTAAGTAGTAATTCAAACACAAGTAAATTAATGTAATACTGAGTTGGGCACATCAATAACTAAGAGAAATACATGTAATGATTATTTTATACATTATCAAGGAAGCAATTAAGAGTCTGCAACTCCCCTCAAGAGCTGCAGCCCTCTGGAAAGCGAGCCCTGCTCCTCACCGGGGCAGCACGGTACAGCTGACCCTGTTAAGGGGGAATCCAGCCTTGGGGATATGAGAACAGGAATTTAGCCCTCCCCGCACCCACCCCTTGCCATCTGCAGGAAGTTGGAGAGCTGGCCTCAGAGGCAAGAAAGCAGGGGTGTTAGTCCAGCCCCTCAACAAATGTCACACTCAAGAGAAGGGTCCCACACCTCACTGGGGTTAGACGGTAGAGCTGGCACTGGTGGTGGGTGCGTCAGTGAGTAGGAGAACTGCCACCACCTGCTGCTACCACGCTGTTACTACCTGCTAAATTGGGTGAGCTAGCCTGGACAGTGTTAGAGAGCTCATCATGGTGGTGACAATGAGGGAAACCTGGCAGGCTGACCAACCCAGGTACCACCCAGGTCCACCAAAACTAAGGCTATGAGTTGGCCCACCCCAGCATCCACCTCATCTATGAACTGCTAGGTCATGTGAAGGGGCAGGACCTGCAGATGCAGGATCTTCAAGACTCAGGACAACAGCAGGATATTTGGGAGGGGTCCCAATGAGGGCCCAGTATCAGAGGCCTTGTACCCAACCAACTCATTACAAATGAAGATAAGATAATTTTGTTTGTTTCCTTTTTTTGTTTTCTTTTTCTTTCTTTTGGTGGGGAGGTTACAAGCACAGAGGACAGAAACTTTAGATGGGGATATGAATGGGATCCAGATGTATATGCAAGCAAGGATGTGCAGGCAGTTATGACAAAAGAGGCCATGCATTTAAAGGAGGGGGGGTATGGGAAAGCTTGCAGATAGGAGAATACAAAAAATAAAGAGAATAACAGAATACAAAAAAAATGAATCTGCAACTAAAGCTTCTTGACTTTAAAGTAAGCAAATGCCTTTCCTCTTCTTAATTTTAGATAATTCTAATCTCGATATGTTCCTGCTCAATTGCATAAAATAGATTCATCCCCAATTAATCTGTCAACTAAAATACCTCATCCTTCATTTAGTCTTAAATGACCTTATACCTGATCTAGAAAAATCCAGTTCTGACACAGAGATGAAAACGGAAGCTGTAGATCACGTACCTGCTACCCAGTCCACGGCAATACCCCGGATTCCATTTGAGCCTATGCCGTAGGTAACGATGTTGGTAAAATTAGACCCATCAGGTTTGATTCTACGGATTCCATTAGAGGATCTCACAGAGCTGCTATAATCACACCAGTAAATAAAGCCAGAGGCGACATCCACATCCACGTGGAGAACGTTTCGCCCTACAACATTTAAGACAAATCAGCAAACTGAACCGGCACTTTTCACATCTCCCCCACTTATTAGCATTTGTGTGCTATACAAACTAATGTGTTTCATTAAAGCCTTTTAGCATATCCTGCTGCCCACTACTGCTCCCTCTTCTCTACTTCTAAACCTCATCTACTTTCATGTATTCTTTTTCTTTATTATTCTTATTACATTATTATTACAAGCTACACTGACAACTTAGTATTTGTTGGCTGAAACCAACTTGGGGGGTGCATCTCCGAGAAAGACTCTCTCTCTTCTCAGCAAGTCTTCATCTAGGAAGGGGCCTTGAGAGACCACTGTTCACTCGGATGTGCCATCTCCTGCTGCTATTGTCTTGTGGATGTGTGTCTCCTGCTGCTATTGTCTTGTCAAGACTGCAGAATTGTTAATGGGTGCAGAACTTTCTTCTGAGTGTGTTTCCTTCTTGTTGTTGGTCTGACTTGGTTTTGCAATGCCGGGGAGCAAGTCCATGACCCTTCATTTTAGCAGTGAGCAAGCAAGTTTCATCACCACCCCTTGGTGTTCTGAAATAGATATCCTGGCAAGAATGTTCTCGTGTGTTTCTTACGGTGCTGGAAAACTCTGCTACATACTTTGGCTTATAGCTAAGAGGCACGTTATTGTTTACATATTCACAAATATGATTATTAAGTCAGGCAGGGTAGCACGTGCCTTTAATCCCAGCAATCAGGAGGCATAAACAGGTGGATCTCTGGTCTATATACAGGTAAACAGGAATATATAGTGAGACTTTCTCCCAAATAAATAAATAATAAAAGAAAAATATGATATAATTATTGGGGACTAATACATCACTTCACCAAATATATACTAATAAATTTGTGTACACCTCATTAACAGAGAAGGAAGGAATACAGAACATCCATTCGGTGATACCTCCTGAAAATCCATGCTATCTATACTTTATAGCCCTCTAAGCCTGTGAGTCTCATGAACCAACAAACTCTGGCCCTATGAGATTCTCCACCACAATACAGAGGACAGTACTTGGCTCAGCTCTGGGCTTGACAGTCTCTTGCCTCCAGAAGATTCTGTTGAGCTTATAAAGTTTATAAACCACATTGGAGCTGGCACCAGCTGGAAGCAAACCTTACCTTGGCCAGCCACTGGCACCATGGCCTCTGCGTGATCCGATAGCTCCAGGCTAAAGCCTCTAATTGCAGACAACTTGGAAACAACAATGAAAGAGTTGTATGGGGAACAGGAGCGATGATCAGGACCAAGCTTAAACCCACTGGCGCAGGCGCAGGAGAACATTCCACCTGGTGTGGGCAGGCAGATTTGCTGGCAAGCATTTGGGTTGTTGCTACAGCCATTGGAAGAGTCAGCAGCACCTAAAAGAATGTAAAAATCAGTCTGTAACCTTGTGGACTTGACAGTCCAATTATAAAAATAAACACATAATAATTAGATTAGCAGATTAATATCAGTACTGAAAGACAAGAATTTGTTTTTCGCCTCCTTGCATTTCAATCTATGAGATAAGAATATTTAAAAGACATTTAATCACACACAATAAAAATAGCATATATGATGCAGAATAGTTGATACTCTTGTGGTTAAAGTGAGAAACTCAATATTATAAATCTAATATAAAAGCTTAGTATTCAAAGGCAGGCAGATTTCTATGAGTCAAGATACTACTTTCGTGGTAAGTTACTATCTTGGTAAAATAAAGTTAATTTGTTGGGGGGGTACTTTAGTTAAGGCAAAAAATTCTGTCCCAAAATTTGTTCAACATTGACATTGACAAAAAAAAAAAAAATGACTGCCCTTCACGGAGTCCTATTACAACAGAAAACATACAGGAAGAAAAAAAACATGTAATACGTGATGAATGCTATAAAGTAAAAGGGAGTAAATAAACTCTGAAGCTAATTCTGGCCTTTGAAATGTCAGATAAGTCACTGACACTTAAATGTCAAATGTTTTGCTTACATGTGTATACACCAGGAACTACATGTGGACAGGGTGTGAGTGTAAGGATGTGTGCATATGCGTCACACGTCCGTGAATGTGTGTCCATGACAAGTACTCACTGCGTCGGTGATAAACCTGAAGACCTCTCAAGTTCGGAACGTTATCTCTCAGGACTACTTTGTTGCTCCCAGAGGACTTGTCGACTCTTTCAATAACCTCATACTGCTCGTCAGAGTAGTAAAGGAAGGGGCCGTGGACTGCAAGACCCCATGGGTGGGCCAGGTGGTGCACCAGGATCATCCGCTCCGTACCGTCCACGTTTCCTCTTTCAATCTGAAGGATCAGAAGTCTTGTTACTTCACTGATTCATACTGAATGATCATGTTCAAGTTCCCATTCTCTTGCATCTCTATAGCACTGTTTCCTTTCTACCTATATGGAATTGGTCCAAGACAAGTATGCAGAACAGGCAAACATCCTCATCTTTGAGTGACTCACAGCATGCTTAAGAATACGTAGAAATGTCTGAGCATGCACAATTATGCAGCAGCTGACAGACATTGGCTGTGACATCTCCAGAGACATGTTCCCCGGAACTTCAAGCCAGCCTTACTGGATGGGAGCCAAGCATGGTGCTATGGTGTGGATAAACAGTTTTTGTCCACAGAGAAAGAATCAAGTAGATGGCTTCTAGGGAGTGTGAGGGCGTAACTGGCTTAACTTGGGTTCAAAAGCCTACACCATCAGCCAAGCAATGAGTGAGAGATCTGGGTTATCCACTACCTTACAGACAAGAGAACCCAGATGTTATATGCCAGAAATGACAGAAATCCTAGAAGCAAGGAATCATGACCCTTCTCTCTCAGAGCAGAGAGGTTGAGCAAGCTCTCCACTGGGCAAGCATCAAAACTGTAGTTCCATAAAGCCAACTCACTCATGGTAGGAATAAAAGTCTGAACATAAGACAAATTAACTTCTGATGATTAAAGAAGGAGAGAGGTGGAGTATAAAGCTCATGGATTCAGGAGAATGAGTGCAGAACAGGGAGGAGTGCAGACAGCCATTGAGTTCTGTCTAGCCAGTACTAACTGTATGCAGAGACCACAGCACGTGATGAGAACATCCTCATAACATCTATGCACCCAAGCATGCATGGTGCTTACATATATGTTGATAAGTTTTATGTGTTTTTATTGTGTTTGGGTGCCCCCGTATGCACAACATCAAGGCTCTCTCTCGACCTTGTGGTTCTCAGGGATTGAACTTGGGTCCTTGAGCTTGGCAACAAGTACCTTTAACAACACTGAGCCATCTCACTGTGAATAAGCATTGGGACAGCAGAGGCTGTATATTGATGAGAGACAGAGTATGTGGTCCGAGGATCAATACCAAGAACTGCAGTTGGTGATACAAATAATAACAATAATGTCATCCCAGAAATGAAGCTAGTATCTGGGGAACAGAAAGGGGAAAGAGAGCAAGGACTACTTCATGGCATTGTAGCTAACATCAGTGTCTGATGTTACTGAAATTACTACTGTCCAGAATATATTCAACGTACAATCTGATTTGTCAACAATCATTACTGAGTACTTCCTTTGCCAAACTCAGCTACAACATCTAGCAGCGACAGTCAAGTGTCAATGGAACCTTATAGTACATTTTATTGCAGAGTATAAGGGGCTCCATCTTGAAGTTTTAAAACTATCAGAGGAAATTTCACATGTGTACTAATGATGTCTTTAGCTGCTGAGCTGAGATACTTGCTTAGTCTCTGGTGTGTGTGTGTGTGTGTGTGTGTGTGTGTGTGTGTGTGTGTGTTTACTCTGCAATGGGAGAACCTAGAGTCTTTTCAATGAGAAGACTGACATCACTTAACACGTTAAATCTATGTCTCCATACAAGTGGTGATTACCTATCCTGAATGAAAGGGGGACAAATAATAACCATCATTCTGGCGGGAATGCGGCACATACTGAAGCAAGGCGAGCACTGTAGAGAGAATGTGCAGGAAAACCCTGATCTAGGTTGCCAAGTAACGTGGCACGTTTTGGAATCACAGTGGTGTGAACAAGGAGTGAAAGGCCGCTCATACCACGCCTCTGCTGGAGACCGCCCAATAGAGCTTCTGCTCCTGGATGTCCAGGGTGACAACCTCCAGGTGACTCAGGTCCCCAGTGAAGAGAATTTTTAAAGCTGTTCCATCCATGTTAGCACTTGCGATCTTGGCAGGAACCCCACTGTTCGTCCCCTGGTCTGACCAATACAGTTTCCTACAACCATAAAAAGCATGAGGGTTTCGTGAAACCGGAAATAGAAAGGGGTGATCCAATGTAGAGGGGCATTTAACCGGTGTCCCATCAACATCTCTAGGGGTCTGTTATCTGATGCCAGGGTGGTGGAATTTTCCATCTGCTCAGCCTTCAAAGTCTTCAAGTCAGAATATATTGCCCAGGCTTGTATCATATTTAGTTCCTAAAATTCCTGCAAGTGGAGCACTGAATATTCACTTGAACTTAAAGGAAGAAACATCTTCCTTCAACATATTCAACATAATTCCGAGTTACTGCTCTTCCTCACTGGGGTTTACACTGTTAAAATGTCACACATCATACGGTTTAAATGTCAACAGGACACCTCATCAGACCGGGGCATTGATGAGGATGGTGCAGACACGGGAACATGCGGGCCACTTGGTACCACTCACCCACGTGCTGGGTCAACTGCTATGCCAACTGGGAGGCCAACGCCAAGAGAGGTGCCATCGTTGGTAATCAGTGTTTTTCCATACCTCGTGTCTCCCCGGAGTGTCACCACCTACAGTCCAAATTCGTGTATTAGAACTGAATTTCTTTTGTGGAAACAAAGATGGATGGGGTGCAAAGCTAAAAGCTAAAGCATGACCAGTAATGGCTCAAGACGCCATTGTGTTTCCCTGTGTCCCCACTACCTCTTTCCTCTCGGGGGCTGGGAAGAATAATCTCAGCACAAAGTACAAGCAGGGCCGGAGAGGTGGCTCAGAGAGGCTTGGACTACGCTCCCAACATCCACATTTGGCTCACTGGAGTGCCTATAACTCCAGTTCCAGGGGACCCAGCATATTCTTAAGGTCCCCATGGGCCCTGCTTCAATGTTCTGCACTGACATATACGGAGGCAAACACTTCCCAACGTTGGATAAGCAGACAAGGATCACTGCCTGTTGATATACAGAAGGTTTTCCATAAAATTGCTACTGGATGCAAATAGATCACTTATCTGTATTAGCATTCCCCCCTCACCTCTCTCCCTTCCTCTCTCACGCACGCACGCACACATACATGCACGCTACGTTTTTCCCCTCAATCTATGCCTTGTCTGACATTTGTAATTACTGCTTGAGCTACAGTAATTTTTCTGATTTCAAGTTGCCCCTTTCTATTACAATCTCCTATGTTTTCTGGGTCTAAGTGTCTTCTTGGGTCACATTAAATCCCTTCTATTCTACCTCAAGTTCTCTCATCAGCCACCTGCAGGCTTCATTTATAAGCGGCACCTGTTTTCAAGAAATAGGCACACAGCGACCCCTAGTGGAAAACATGCTCCTCAACACCACCTCCTATTTTCAACATGGAATGTTCCCTTCTGGAACAGTATAGATCAGTTATACTGCCTAAGAGTTATATAAACTCTTGGATGATTCATCTCCCATGTTGAATACAGAGATAATCTGTACCCTGTTTCATAAGAGAACTCGGTACCATGAAGACATTTGTCCAAGGTCAAACAGTTCATGAGTTCAGGGTTTTTATCTCTCAGCCTTTTCCATACTTTTTCTAGAAACAGGCATTGGTCATCCTCCAAGGCTCAGTAAAATAACCACCCCTCACCCTACATGGTTGCTTTTGCCACACTGGAGCTTGTGTGCAAGGGAAAAAATGCCTTGCTCATCTCTTAAGATAAGATTAATTTGTAGGAAAGAGATTGAAGAGCCTTACCCCAATGGACAGACTTGCAGAAGTGGTGTAATAAAGGTTTCTTGATACCCAGTCTAAGGCCAGGCTATAGGAGAACCCGGCCAGAGACAGAGGAGCAAACACTTCCCTCCGGCTGCCATCAGTCTTCACTCTGTGAATTTCACCCTGGCAAGAAAGACAAGGGAGGTGAGCTGACCTGAGGCAGGGGCATGGCCCCTACACAGAAGTCCCCTTCCCGGTACAGCTATTGCCAGTGCCGCCAGTGCTTCCTTGATGCGCCTCACTTGTTGGGAAAAGCAAACAAAGTTGAGCACCTGAACTTTCAGAGGAGAAGAAAGCTCACCAAGCAGTCTTAAAAACAAAAATTGAAAGCACATTTCAAAGCGGCTGAGAAGTCAGCAAGACAGACACATCACAGAGCTCTCTTCACCCCCCTTTCTCCTCATTGGCTCTTTCCCCATTCTGGCAGATGAAATGAAGCTTCCATGAAGGAAAAACAAAGACACTGAAGAAACATTTGCCCCATTGGAACCCAAGGCCCCCAAGAGCCGCATCAAATGTCTTCCTGGAAATCCCTGAGGGAACTTTGTCTTAAAATAATGGCCATATACATTGAGTGCATACAACTTACCGGGTTCTCAGCCCAGTAGATGAACTGCTCGGAGTCATCAAATTCAACATTGAAACCATTATGTATCCCTGCTATGGGGACCATAGCATCGTTGCCCTTCACCGCGGGGTCAAGGGAGATTCCGAATATTATATCATTCCTTACAGACATCAAGAAAGGTTGATCACCTGTGGAAGCAGCAAGCAGTGTGTCAGGCGTTGCAGCACTAACATAGAAGTGTAATGTCGAACCATCGTCCTCCCACAGAAGCCCCCCAGCCCCGCAGGAGACACTGCCTGAGGATGGTCCGCTACATAGTCCTCGTTATCTCCTTACTCAGACAAACTATCAGGATTTGAGTCTGAAAGTTCTCTCTACCAATAGAAAGCCTTAACAATAAATGATGCAGGGAAGGTGGGGAAGTGGAACACACTTGGTAAAGAGTAACTGTCTCGTGCCTCTCAGGTATCGTTTTGAGGCACAATTACTATTGTATGTAATTGTATATTTAGACCTTTATTGAAAATCTGCAAATGACCCAAATAAATATCTGTAGCAGAGGGCTGTAGCTAAATTAGAGATTACTTGCCTTGCTTTCAGGAGACCATGGGTTCTCTGTGTGTGTGCATGTGTGCGTGTGTGTGCGTATGCGTGTATGTGTGTGCATGTGTGTGTGTGTCTTTGTGCCTTTTTCCATGTGTCTGTGTGTATGTGTCTATGTGTGTCTATGTATATTTGGTCAAGTATCTATATGTGTCTGTGTGTGTTTATCTATCTGTGGGGGGGTGGTCAATAATAACTGCATAACTGAAATGGGTAGAATCCGCACGAGGAAATATATAATCTAGTGATGATGTAAAGACCTCAGGTTGCATTTTGCATTCTGACCCTGAGTCAGAAACCTATTTGGATGTACAACTAGAGTTTGTCTACTTGCTTTGGGAAGTATTTTTCTTAAGTAAGTTCTCACCCTATAATTTTACATTATAAAAAAGTAAAATTGAGTCAAGTGAGAAGCCTCAGTTGGCAAAGCATTTGTCACACAAGCTGAATTCAAACTCTGAAACCCACAGGGGAAGGAAACAGCTGACAGTGGTTCTCAAACATTCACACACACACATGTACATACCCCATGTGCACAGGCACACAACCCACATGTAATAATGTAAAATGAGGTAAAAAGAATATAAAATTCTGAAGAAGAAACAACCAGGCAACCCTATCCACCATTAACCTCTATTGGTTTACTGATGCTTACTTGGTTTGGTTTTTGGTTTTGCATGGCTGAGATTAAACCCAGGACCCCACACAGGCAAACACCACCCCACCATCCCACCCCAGCCCATCTTCAGAAACCAACAGGAGACTCTAGTGACCACTTCCAAAGCCTGTCCATGGGAAAACCACAAGTGAAATTATTTGTGAAATGACAAGTGATACTATTTGCTGTCACCATTAGATGTCCCTACAATAATCAGCTGACAGTCTTGTTTGGTAAAGGAATGCCCTGTATCTAAAATATCTATGTCCAGATTAATCTTCTCTGAAAGATTCAAGGACACATTAAATTAAACAATGTCACCAAGGATTAGTAATGTAATAAATCTCTGAGAAAAGTAGCGAAAAAAAAGTATTGCCAATCATCAAAACCTTTCATCATGAGTGTATCAATGCACAGTGTCACAGGTCTGCATGGGGCACCATCCTCAGGACCTCAGCTGCAAACACTGGAACCTGAAAACACTATAAATGCCCTAAAAACCCATCCTGTATTTATTTTCCATTTCAAAGCCGGGTTTCCCTAAGATTTGGAAACATCTAACCATTTTGTTTCAACTTCTCTAGCAATTTCTATCAGTTTCAAAATACTCTTTGGTGAGGGGTGAACAGATTCAGAGTAACTTTTTAAATGTCTGAGCGATAGAGGATGATTTTCAAGAGTTCTATGCATATACACCCTTGAAGAAATCATTTCTCTTTCCTTTCACACTCTTGACCACTTGACACAACACTCCACACACCCTTCAATCAACCTACTAATATAACTAAGATTAAATTGCTCAAATGGCCACTTGTAATATTTCTTAACAGAGATAGCACTTATTTCTGGGGTATCAGATAATAACATTAACGATTCTGAAGCTGGAGACCCAGGACGGATCACTCACCAGTGATTATTTGGTATAAGAATAAGTAAAACAAAGGACCTGAAAACGTGCAAGTGGAGCACAAACATCAAAAATAAATTCTACTTTAAATGCAGAAAAGGTTAAAGGTTGACCCATATGCACAGGTCCACAGAACCTGTATAGCAATAGAGATGCTTAACGCTATCACCCCAGTGAACATAACGGAACTGGGTGCAGGGTTTCCCACAGTCAAGCCGCAACTACGACAGGCTTGATCAGAGCACACTTACCTCTCACGCAGTTGACAGAATCGTCAGAGAGGTTCCATCCTGAAGGACAAGCACAAGAATAGTATCTAGGGTCCTGTGCAGAAAGCAGGCAAAGGTGACTGCAGGGAGCAAGGGCACATGGGTTGTGGGCTGTGGAAGAAAGCAGAGAATGCACGTGTGTGCATGCGTGAATGGAAACCACCTGCAGAGTCACAAGATTGGCTTTCACAAGGTCCTAGTTCAGTCTATAACCAGGATACACCCTAGATCCTATAATATAAATACAACGGCTACGTGCCAGACCTAAAAGCTACCTTGCTGTATGAAAGATGAAGGCAGCTTTGCATGTGTCCATTATTTGGACTCTCAGTGTGTATCCTATTTCTTCTACATATGACATGCTAGATAATCTATTCTTTTCCTCACCAAAACACTAAGCATCTGTAAGTTCCCAAACACTGTTTATCTAAACATGGAGTGGACATTCTAGAAAGGAAACAGAGCTGGTAACTCATGTTGTGGGTGGTAATTTCAGAATGTGAGGATGTCAGAGCACTGTGAGAGGTGCTTAAGAAAAGCTTCTCCAAGAAACCATAGATGACTCAAAGAAGCAATTCTGAGAGAGACAGAAAGAAGACAGGTATTCAAGACAGAACAGAAAAGTACCAAGGTTCAAAGCTGAGAACTCGCCTGCTGTGCCACTAGACCATGATATAGTCTAGGAGGGTAAATGTAAAACACAGAAGAAACAGGGCCAGACACCACTGGAGAGATTTGAGGAAAGATTATGGGAAGATTAAGTGTTGTCCCTCACAACACCCTATGCATGAAGGTGACATGGGATGGCCACAGCAGAACACCTACAAGGAGATGGTAACATAATGAGTCCCAACAATTCACAACTAAAGAAGGTCACAGAGGTAGTAGCTAATTGCTACATTATGTATACAGAATATGGTATTGTCGCCTACAACGGACTGTTCTTCCAGCAGTAAATAAAAGCAAAAATGATGCAGAAGCCCAGACAAAGCATGGAGTACTGTGGGCAGCAAAAAGAAAATGCCATTTCCAGGCAGGCAGGTATCACTTACAAGACGGTTGCCTTGCAGGATGAATGGCAACGATCCCAAGAGGCTGCTGAACGTTGTACATTTCAACAGACTGGTTGCCCCCATGCCACTTGTTGGCTTTCATCACCCGCCGAGTACCACGGTCAGTCCAGTACACAGAGTCCTCGAACAGAGTCAGAGCGTGAGGATGGTGGAGAACCTGGAAGAGAAGCAGACAGTGAGACCTCACCCGGAAATGGGAAGGAATGTCTGGCGCTTAAATACTGAAGATTCTAATTCCTACAGTAGGCACTAGGAATGATACTGAGCATTCATTTCGAAATGGAAATTGTTCCGGGGTTATTTCTATTATATTGTAGGCCTATATTACCCAATATGCACGAAGGCTCGCTCCTCGTAGCATTGACCAACTTGTCAAACTTAAACAGAATTCATTGAATAAAAAAAAATTAAGCACACAACAGGCTCTGTCTTCATTGGGAAAATATAAGTCTAGTAATTTCATTTTACCATGATTTTTAAAGATACATAAGCAAATGACTAGCACCCATTGACTAATGGCTAAAATAAACATACTAAGTTTCTTGCTAGGATTTGCTTGATTTAACCTCACTAAGTACTCCCTAATCTGGTTTTCTTTTGTTTATTCTCATTGTGCGTGTCTGTTCTCTTTTACTGATTTCTACTGTGGTTTGAACTATATCGAAAACTTACCAAATCACCTGAAATGACCTGCTTCCGGTTGCGCCCATCATAATCGCAATATTCAATGTAATCAAGATAGGCGTCCATGAAGTAGACGAGTCGGTTGGGGTAGTCAATGGTTAAGCCACAGGGCCAGAAGATCTTTTCCTGGACGATGACCGTGCGCATGGTGCCGTCCATGCTGGCTCGCTCAATCCGGGGGTGACGGCCCCAGTCAGACCAGAACATTAGATGGTTACTGTGAAAAGAGTAAACGTGTATCCACAGGAAAGATAACTTTCACTTAACATTGTACACCACATGAGTCATGCCTTCCTCTGTGGTCACAAGACGACCACAGATCATCTAGCTATTTTTTTAATAATGTGCATAACATACGCAGTACCTTATGACATGGAAATGTTCTTTTTTTGTCCTTTTTGTTTACCTTATCTTCAGAGATTCATTAACTTCACTAATGTGGAATAACTATCTGGGAAGTCAGCATCATATTAAACATAAACTCTAACTCAGCATCCTGTGGGAAACATTCTAACTTCATAAACTCTAGGAAATCTTCGTAAAACCTAGGAAAGATTTCTGTCTTTCTTTTACACCAATCAAGACAATGTCTCTTCCTTAACCAGCTTGACAGGATTCTCAAGAAAATAACATGAACATGAAGCAGAAACAGCCATTTTGTTGTTTCCAAATCTCAGCCAAGAGACCCATCTGCAGGCCGTTACTGCATGCCTGAGAAACCTAACATAAATTCAGTAAAGACTCGCAGGGCTAAATCAAGTGTCTTTCTTACCCCATTCTGGGATCTAATGCTAGTCCCCTGGGGTTTGAGACATTTGTGTTAATCAGTACAGTCCTATGGCTTCCATCAATTTTCGAGACTTCAATAGTTTCCAGAGCGTAGTCTGTCCAGTAAAGATTGCGACCTATCCAATCAACTGCAACTGTTTCTGTCACAGAGGTGCCGCTGTCGTGGACCTACAGATAAAAGAAGAAGAAAACAGAAATTATGTGACCATCAAGCCGGGCGGTAGTGGTGCACTTCTTCAGTCCCAGTACTCAGGACACAGAGACAGGCAGATAGACCTCTGTGAGTTTGAGGCCAGCCTGTCTACAGAACAAATTCCAGGACTGACTCCAAAGCTATAGAGAAACTCTGTATCAAAGAATAAGGAGGAAGAGGAGAGAAGGAGAAGAAGAAGAGAAATTATATGGAAAACTAGAATAAGGAATATAACAATGTAGCTACCCAGGAAGCCAACAGTATTTTCAGGTAAGTATAAGACATTCATACCTTAAATAATGCAAGGCAGATGTATTAGTGAGTGGTCTCATTTTGATTTTAAAAGCTTCCGCATTTGCTAAGAACTCTACCAATGTGTAAAGACATGCAGTGTTCACAAAAGAAATTGTGACTGTCAGGGGTCAAAAAACAAACTCAGAGATAGATGGTTCAATCACTTAGTCTTGTAGAGGACTTTAGTTCTGTTCCCAGCACCCACAAGACTGCTCACAACTAGGGATTAGTCATCTGCTCCTGGCCTCTTATGGCAACCACACATACGAGTCAGATAAACTCCAATCAAACAAACTGAGGGAGATGGGTTGAAAAGTTTACGCTCTTGGGCTCTCCTCCGCTCTTAGGAAAGATTCGCGAAGAATCTGCATCACGTGGTAGAGAAATCAAAATTGTGGAGAGGCCTGGAGAGCAGCCCCGCAGCCCTGAAGTTAGGAACATCCAGACCTCTTGCAGAGGATGCGTTGCCCAAGGATAAGGGAGGGTAGGACCTTCTCTTGGTGAGGAGCAGTCAATAGGGAAGGGCACTTACTACTCTCTGGTCTGTTCCATTTTGAAAGGCACTCCAGGTTTTGCCCTGCTGTAAGTCAGACCAGAAGACACGGCCGGTGACTGAATCAAAATCAATAGCGACCACGAAGGAGACATTCTGGACCAGTGAGTAGATGTTGTGTGTGTGGGCTGTGATGTTGTCCACAATGATTTTGTCACGGCTTGCTACAACTAACAACAGGCTTTCAGGGGCTGTTGGGGAAAAGAAAACACAAACTGTTAATGGGCTAAAGGGAAAATACAACTAAATACAATTCAAGGGTCTCTTCAGCATCCAACGGGTGAGTAAGGCACAAGAACTCATCACTTCATTCTTGAGCTCTAAGCTGTCCGCAGCCATAAATGCCATCCCAGACACTCCTGAGCTCATCGGAAGCTAAACTGGGTCAGGGGAATCTTAATTGTTCATTGGTATAATAGCAGTATTCCCAAATAGCTTGCTTTCTTGAATTATTGCAGAGGGCATCTGACTATTTATCAGGCTGGAGTGAGCTGTCCTTACGGTTCTCCTTGGGCTTTGCTATCTACCTTAGCACACGGAGGGATTGATTCTTGGCAATGATCAAGTCTTCAGCATTTTGATTTTCCCCAAACATTTAGTTGTAGCAGAGAGTTCTACATGTCTACTAATATTCCTTTTCCCCACCCCTTGTCTTTTTTTTTTTTTTTGAGACAGGGTTTCTCCGTAGTTTTTGGTTCCTGTCCTGGAACTAGCTCTTCTAGACCAGGCTGGCCTCGAACTCACAGAGATCTGCCTGCCTCTGCCTCCCGAGTGCTGGAATTAAAGGCGTGAGCCACCACCGCCCAGCTCCCTTGTCTTTTTAGTAATACATCATACCACGTTAGGTTGGCCTAGGCTACTCAAGCAGAGATAGGTATCTTACGCCACCATAGCTGTGGTAACCAAATGACTGAGTTCTGACCACCAGGTTACATCCTTAAAGGAAAACTGTTTTCCTAGTCTGCTTTCGAAGGATCGTGAATGGTAACTTCATGATGTTACGAATCAGTCTGTCCCTTGGACCACTCTCATCCAGCCTACTTGGAAAGAAAGGTTCCCTCCTTTTTCACGTTGGTATTTTTGAAGCAGAGACTTGAACTCACTATGAAGTCCCAGCTGACCTGATACTACCTCCCAAGGGCTAGGATGACAGACATGCCACTGTGACTGGTAATAAAGAAACTTTTAAATCCTCCTCTGTTGAACCACTTTAAAAGCAGCTGGATCAATATTCTCATACCTATAATTATATAGGTCACAAGGCATTAAATAAATTGGCAAGGAGACTAGTCAGGCTGACTGCTGGTCAACCTTGACAAATGCTTATACTCTCAAATTTCCTGGAGGTGGTTCACCTGTGAGAGGCTCTCACCTGTGGTTCACCTGTAAGCTTGATGATTACCTGTGACTTTGCAAGTCCGCCCATCACTTTCCAGTGTGTATTCTGCATCACATGAGCACCGGAAGGAACCTCGCATGTTGACACATTGCTGGCTGCAAAAGCCTAGAGTATCACATTCATTCACGTCTTCACAGGTCTTAGAATCGTTGGCAAGTTGGTATCCTGAGGGACATATGCATGTGGCTCCAAAGGGCCCTTGCATGCACTGATGAGTACAGCCACCATTGGAGTGTATGCAACTGTCTTGATCTAGAATAAAGAATCATGGGAGAGAGGGGGTTTTTTGACTCACTCTGAAGCAATCCCATGCCAGACTTAATGAGAGTTATTAAGATCCACATTCTCTTGGATAATCTGTGTAGTATCTGAGAATATATTATCCATTGGAACTAAACTCTACGACCACCCTCCGGTATTTAGTGCTGTGAGAAAATACAGCTGACGTCAAGAAACCCAACCGTCCTTGATGAAGCAGACAAAGAAATCTAAATACTCTCTAGGATTCACCAACCTAACTAGAAATGGAACAATAGGTCTTAAAGGGGTCACAGAAAAAGCTAGACGTGGAGAAGACATAAACTGACTGACACACCATCATTTTTTACTCTCAGGGCCAACATGAAAATGGCTGAGCCTGCCCACAGCCAGGGCATGTGCCTGGGTATGAAGATAACCTCTATGGCCATGAGCAGCACAACGGACAGGTAGAGTCGTGACACAGGACGGGCACTAGCGGGGGGGGGGGGGGGGGAGGAGGCACAGTAATTAGTACAACTCCAGCAATTACATGACACATGTCTGAAGTATTTCACGGTCATACCTGCTGTGGTTCATCTGAGAGTGAGCGTTAATCAAAGAGGAAAGAGAAGGGACAGTAATTAGGATCACATGCCAAGCAGAGCAGTTTAATCACAGAAACACAATCCCCGCCACACACAGATTTTGGTTGTTATATGATTAAAATTAGACAATTCCCAAGTTAGAAAAGTTCATAAGCACATTACTAAGAAAGTTAATTTGATGTGATTTCCTCATTTAGTCTCGTTTATTTCTAAACAATGACATAAAAAGGGGGGAGAACCACAGACACAAGAGCAAAGGACTTAATGAGAAGTATGATGCAGTCATGATTTATTGGAACTAAATTATCAGGGATATGATGGTACAGAGGAACTAAAATCCCTTCCCAAACTGCTACACGGGGACTGTGACAGTGCTAGGTTACAGCAGACTGTTCAGAATTCATTTCTGGCAGTCAAATGTGATCAGGAAAACTTACTGCAAAGTGGGGACTCATCGGTCCCATTCGGGCAGTCCGAGACGCCATTACAGAGGACATTCAGATTGACACAGGTATTGTGGCCTGGGCACTGCCACTGCCAAAAGGGACAGCGAAAAGACTCGGGAGGGCAGTTTTTCTCATCGCTCATATCCCTGCAGTCATTGTCCCCGTCACAGATCCATGGTCGGAAGATGCAGTTTCCGTTGTCACAGAGGAAGTGAGTTGGGGGGCAGGTCTTCGGGACACAGCCATTGTGCTCGTCAGAGCCGTCGACACAATCGGGATGTTTATCACACTCCCAGGTGTTGGGGATGCAGGTGCCATCGCCTTGGCACTGAAACTCATCTGGGTGGCACATACCGGGAGGCCTGGTTGCTAGGAGAAACAAAGGCATATATGGATGATGATGCACTTGGGTTTGTAAATGCAATGTCATATAACTACAGAGGAAATTATTCTGGACAAATGGGGAGTTTATAATAATGATTAAGACAGAACCAATACTAAAGGCTAAAATGATATCAAATGCTCTTGCACATTATGGTACATAGAAATATTTATATGTGGACTTGCTTCTGATTCTTTGGGATTGTCTAAATGCCACCGAGCAGATGTTTCAAGATCTCTGTGGTTTGGGGGTTGTTTTTTGGTTTGCTTGGTTTGGTTTTGAGTGAGACAGGGTTTCTCTGTGTTACCTTAAGTAAAACGTATTACAAATAAAATCTATTTCATGTCTGTGAATATAGAAAGAACAGGGTCCACCAGGTGGTGGTGGTGCACACCTTTAATCCCAGCACTCAGTAGGCAGAGGCAGGTGAATTTCTCAAGGCCAGCCTGGTCTACAGAGTGAGTTTCAGGACAACCAGAGCTGTTACACAGAGAAACCCTGCCAGGTGTGGTAGCACATGCCTTTAGTCCCAATGCTCCAATCAACAGAGTCCATCAGACTTGCTTCTATCCTGGGATTTGAAGACTTTGCCTCGAACCCTCCATAGAAGGGTGACTAACGCATTTCTAAGGCTATCTGCCTGGCTTTAATGACCTTGAGTCAATTCCACAATTCCATACCATTTCTATTCCATAATTTGCCTTTCCAATTGAGATTTGAATGAAACTGCATTCAGATGGGGCTGGCAAAACAGGTAAGGTCTAAGGATTTACATAGTGGAAAATGAGAACTGTCTTCCACATGTGTATGGGGGCATGTGCACCCACGTACACAAAAACAAATAAACATAATTTTAAAAACCACATTGGTGAATGTCCTACGATTGTAAAAAAATCTAAAAAAAAAACTAAGAAATTAATTATTTTCAGTATACATTTGTATAACATTGGCTGCCTACCTACAAATCATTATTGGGTACTATTACCCATTGACGCGTGAACACTTTGTGCTTTATGTCTTCCCCCGGCTTGTCTGAATTAAAAAGAACTAAACAGCAATGTCCAATACTAAAATAAAGGATCTCCTTGTATATATACACCGTGCATGTGGTACTTACGACAGCCTGCCTCGTCAGAGTTGTCCTTGCAATCAACAACACCATCACAATGAAATCGGCTGCCAATGCACGCGCTCCCGTCAGCGCATCTGAATTGCGAGCTCGTGCAGTTTAACACTAGAAAGGAAAGGGGAAAAGGGGGTTGAAGGTAACTCCAAGGTAAACTGAGAACACCGTAAGGAAAGACTGAAGCCATCTACTCACCACAGCCCGCCTCATCAGAGCCGTCAACACAGTCCTTATCCCCATCACAGACGTACGTCGGGCTGATGCATCGGTGGTCCGGGCAGCGGAACTGTGTAGGTTGGCATGTCGTTGAAGCTCCTAAGGACATACGAAAACAAAGCCAAGTTCTGTTAACTTCTCAGTTCTCTGTGCTCAGCTCAGCCATAATGTCGAAGCCAGCACAGTAAAACTCAAAATGAGGATTTGGAATAAGACGACTCCAGGGCAGAACCAATCTTGGAAAACAGAAAACAATGATCACAGAAGCCCCAGGTGCCTAGCCATATCTCTGTGAATCTACCAATTCTGAGCAACCTGCATGCTAGCATGCAACAATGCTGGTGACAGGTGTGCAGGCTGCCCAATCCACTGCATAAAATGCATGAAAATCACAGGTTCCTAGGGGGCAAGATTTCAAAGGGCCAGGCTCCTCCAAGAGGAAAGTGAATCACCTAATCCTGCAACCAATACAAGAATTTAGTTTGAGAACTCTGCTCCATCTTGAACTATTATTACTAATTACAGTAATAATAACAGGTGAAATAAAAAGGGGGACTATGTCTATATTCTGTATTAAATGTGATGTGTGTATGTGTGTGTATATATATGCATATATATACATGCATATATGATTATATATGCATGTTAGACAGAACACTCTTGCATGTGATAGCCAAAGGTTGATGTCATCTTCTGTTGAGTGAAATCCTTCTCTCTCTACCCTTTATTCATGGGACAGTGTCTCTTGCTTCCCCCATAGTCTACAGATGTAGACCACCACATCTGGTTCAGGCTTGTCTGTGTATCTGGATGTCAGACACATGTGTTGTGCTTTGATAAGATTCAGTCCCTAAAGAAGACGCATCTAGCCTGTATCAGATACAGAAGGGGTCTTCGAAGAAAGAATTCAAAGCCTATTGGTTATTCAAACCACTCGAGGCTCAGCGACCCAGAGCATGCAGCTCAAAACTCACCACAGTTCCTTTCGTCGGATCCATCAGAGCAGTCATTGTCCGTGTCACAGACCCAGTCTCTGGGGATGCACAGGTGATTGTCACAGGTGAAGGAGGTGGATGGACAGGTAGACGTTGGCCTTGTGGGGCAGTTCTGCTCATCACTGCCATCTAAACAGTCGTTGTGTTGGTCACAGCGCCACTGGCTAGGAATGCACTGTCCACCACGTGCGCAGGTGAAAGCCAAGGGCGAACAAGAATTATCTGCAAACAGCCACGAAGGGGTCAAGACCAATTGTTCTTGCAGCGACCAAGTCATCTTTCAATACAGCATTACACAAAGAAGAAATGGGCAAGAGGTTCTGGTTTATTGAGTACCAGGCATAGCATATTACGATGTAGATAGTTATCTTAAATTAGACTTTGAGGTGGTATAATCTTGTATTTGCCTTCTTCCTGCAACAACCTCAGGAAAATGTACAGCTTTTCAAAGAACCCTTCTTTGCCACTAAAAGATCTCAGTTGTCTTCATTTTTTTTAATGGGATACTTGGGTGTTTGTGGAATAATATTTTTAAAGAAGTGTCACTCTGATTGCTTTTATAAAAAATGCTGAATGGCCAATAGCTAGGCAGAGATGATGCTGGGAAGAAGGACAGAGAGAAGCAGGGACACCGGGATGAAGAGATGAGAAAGAATCAGGAAAGCAGGATACACAGATGAGGTAAATGGGTTAACGTAAGCTATCATAAGAGCTAGCTAATAACAAGCCTAATATTTAATAATTGATCATTAATCATTAGTTACGATTTGGTTATTTATAATTAATTCGTAATTAATATTAAGTCTCCATTATTTGGGGCCTTGCTGTTGGGTCCTTCTGCAATGGTATTTAGGACTGAAATATCATGGGCTAGAATACAATCAAGAGACTCATTATAGCTCATTATCACTCCAAAAAGGGGGATAAAATACACAGGACATAATGTTTTCTAAGGCTACAGTTGCAGGTACCTATGATACTGTGATACTATTCTCTCCGGTGCCAGCGAGCAAACCTGGGGCCTTGTTTGTGCTAAAAAAATTTCACTACATTTGGGTCCTATCCTCAGCTCTGGTTTGACGTTTTGAACAACTGACTACATTGGTCCAAAGAACTAACGTCAATTGACAATAATCAAATCCACCTGTAACTTTACCTATAAATCATGCATATTCTAAAATGGCACAGTGGTATTTTCCCATGCACACAGCCCATGTTTTATTACTGCTTTTACGACCACGCCTGTGCTCTATTCCAGCACGCCGATACTTACTAAAGGCAGCACACTGATGTTCATCGCTGCCATCGTGACAGTCATCCACGCCGTCACAGCGGAAGAAATCGGGCACACACTTGCCATTGTCGCAGGCAAAAGAGAAGAAGCCACACTGCTCTGTGGGTGGCTCACCGATGGGGTCGCCTTCACATGTCCTTTGATCGCTCTGAAGCTTCATCCCATAGGGGCAGCCACACACCCTCTGGAAGTTGGGTGCTGGGTAGCAGAAGTGGCTGCAGTCCCCGTTGGGATGGGTGGGCTGGCTGCAGTAGTTAGACCCTGAAAATGCAGAACAACTAGATTTGTCCAAGCAAAGCCATTCCAGACCCCACCGTACAACGTTGGAAATCGGCCTGCCGAAGACAGCATTTCATCAAATATTGGGATGTGTATTTCCAAGAAACCAAGCTATGGGAATACAGCACTATGTTGACAAAAGAGTTAAAGGAGCGTCGAGTCAGATAACTGTGCCCCTAGCGGAGAAACTTGGCAGTGCCCTCACCAGTCTGCAGGTCCGCATCGTATGCTTTCACTTGCATCAAGCTGCTGATGCCACTTCGAATAATTGCCATATCGCCACCATCTGATTTCCTGACTCGGATAATAGCGCCCAGTCTCCAGTCTGTTAAATACAAATTATCTGAAGAAGAAAAACAGAATGATTAGTGCAGGCACAGTTTGAGGAAACAGCGACGTGCGTATAAGAACACAACAGTCCAAGAACCCATCTGTAGCCATTTCTTCTTGATGTCATTGCTCACACTGAGGTAGATACATAATGGCATTAGTAGTAATTAGGATTAAACCTCCATGGATAAAAATGAACATAAAGAATCTTAAGAGTGAGTAGAGATATTTAACTGTGGAAAGAAAGAAGAGCACACCATCTCCTGTAGCCTGGGTCTGCATGAGGATAAAGTACAAATCTCATCCCCCAAACAGGTGTGTGTTTGAGTAAAATATCAATAACTGTGCAAATGCCTACACGATCCTAATAGTTTAGGATTGTAGCGATGCAATCCATGTAATGCAAGACCATAACATGCTTACAATGTCAGCCCTCTTTATCTGAGATCCACACTAGTGGGTCATTGAAGCCACTAAATCTTATCTCCCTTTATTGTAAACTTTAGTCCCGCCAGTCAGCAAAGTATCTCATTGTATTTAAAAAAGATAAGTTCTGTACAGCTAGCTAGTCTTTCACTAAAGGATTAATGATTTGCATCGTGTTGCAAAATAAAAGAACTTTCTGTACCAGATTCCTATTTGGTATTTGTCCACACTTGGCATAATGACATTCATGTATTTCTGAGACTAAGATCAAAGGTTTTTTGGAGTAGGTCTAGGCTATATAGAAAGACCATAACTAACATGGTAAAATGTTCCTGTGTTCTAGCAAATACCATGTGTCTGACGATACTTGAAAGTCAGAGTCATGTCAAAAATTTCAGAGCATTTTTAAAATATTTTAAAAATGTCACACACTGCCCAGATAGACAGCAGGACAGAACATTCAGTATGACTAGCCCTAGTCAGATGCTAAGTATTTGAGCAAGAATGTCTCCACAAGGACACAAGTGGCTCACACACAGGGCTTTCCAACAAACCAATTTTTTTTCTACATTTAGTAGCCTCATTTTAAATTCCAAGTAAAAGCATAGCGTACCTTTTATTGCTTCAAAACATACCTTTAAAAACCGTGAGTCCGAATGGATATGTCATCTGAGCTACAGAGTCCAGTCTTTTTCTGTCTAAACCATCGAAGGTGCTGTGCTCGATTTTATCAAAAAAGGCATCTACCCAATACAGTCTTGAAGCACTAAAAAAAGGAAAATGTTATCTAATACCGAGACACGAGCAGAGTGTCCTGAATACTGAGGAACACTGAGGCGGTTCACTTTCAAATATGTCTCCTAAAAAATTAAGTTGTCTGCTTCCCACAAATACAGTAAACTTGAAATCTGTCTTATTCCTTGAGAACCCCCAAAGCATATGTCAGCAAATAGGTACTAGTTGATTAACTGTGTTCATTAATTCCCTTGTTGATTGACTCCTAGCCTTAAGATGTCTCTACAAGAAGTTAAACACAAGCTAGCTACATTTCATTAGCTCTAATACAGTTTGGAGCTTCATCCATCTTAAACCTGTCCTGCTGTTTGTAGAAATTTCAGAATATTTATCCCACCAGCAGCTAACCAATTGCGTTTGGAGTCTGCATCATTTAGCATCCATCCCTTATCACCGATTAGTCTCAGGCATTTGGTGCTCATGTCCTAGTGTGCCACCCTGTGTCCAACATACTGGAACTGTTATGCGTGTTGCCCTCCGTGCTCGTCAGTGATGAAAATTCAGATAGAATCTGTTCGTACTCACCTCCAATCGATGGCCAAACCATTGGGCAACCCCAGAGTAGTGTTGACTATAGACATTAGGCGAGACCCATCACTCCACGCTCTCATGATTTTAGCAGGACGTTGCCAAGTACTAATGAATATAAACCTAGAAAGTGGGAACAAATGCAGGAGGCCACCATTGGAGCAAACGGATGACTTAGAGTTACAATCAATTTCACTCTCCATACTTGCTGTCAGATTTGTTGTGAATATGTAGTCACAGTCACAATGGTAAATGATATTAAAATGGGATACAGAGTAAACACCATGAATAAGAAAATAGATTTTCTTTTCTTTTACTCTGGAATTAAACAGAAACAACCTAATCATTCAATATTAATTCTTCTATAGAGAATTTATAGTTACCAAAAAAATATTAATTCAAAGTTAGAGAAATGGTATAGGTAATGGTATAAGGCTCATGAGATCTGGAGTTCAAATCACTCTTTAGGACACTCTAGACCATTAACAAGCTTCTCACCTGCACAGATACATACAATATGAACACTAATGAACAAACTCAAAATAACATCTTTTTCTTTAATTTTTTTTCTAGGCAAGGTTTATCTGTGTAGATCTGCTGTCTTGGAACTCTCTTTGTAGTTCAGACTGGCCTCAAACTCAGCGAGCTACCTGCCTCTACATCCTAAATTCTGGGATTAAATTAAAGGTGAATGCCACTATACCCATCTCTTTAATATAACCCCTAGGACTCAAAAGCAACCATTTCCAGTGTAGGCTATATATACATTAGATAGATACAGTAGATATATCCATCTATGGGTGGGTGGGGTTTATAAAGAAAAACTAAAAGCATAAAGCCAAAACACATACTTTGTTAGGCAAAACACGGAAAGGTGTGTCTAGGCAGGTCTAGAGTTTGACAATGATTATTGATCTGGCTTGATAGTGTGAGCCCTTCTGGGACCACTATACCTCACGGAGCCACAGATTCAACATCTCAGAAGTCGATTGTGCATGCCTCCTCCGTAGCCTCGCTCTTTGATCAAATGAGGTACTATTGGTACCCTCACCCCCAGTGAGGGACCCCAGCTGACTCACAAGCTAGTTTTCTTATCACTCTATTCAAATGCAACTGCTCAGGCTTGCTCTGGATAAAGTACTGAACATGTAGGTAAGAAAACACTGTTCTGTTGCCTCCTGTCTGCCTCGGGGCTAACCGTAGCCCACATAACAGGGATATGAAAGTCCTTATACTAAAAACCACAAGATGATTAGCCCCTGCCCTGCAAAGCTTCATATCAATACATTAAAGCAGGGCAAGAATTGGATCCTTTCGTGATAATCTTGCCACATATTTTCCTGCCTACAGAAACTTCACATTTTTGAAGGAGATAAGGTGATCACTAAAACGTGTGCCAAAGGGATGAAATTGAAGGTGAGGTATGCGGTCTGATCCCCAGGGCAATACACTGTGAAGGCATATATAGCCATTCCGTGTTCTCACGTACCCAGCAGTAGGATGCACCACAATGGACCTCGGGGTGTTTAAGTCGCTGATTATCTGTCGCCGGGACTTATCAGCCAGCCTCATGACGCTGACACTCTTTAGCCCTCCGTCTGTCCAGTAGAGATTCCTTGAAATCCAGTCAAAGGTCAGACACTCAACATTTCCCAACCTGTTTGCTGTGAGCACTTCTTTTCCTAGGAGTAGGAATAGAGTCGTGTTAATTAAGACAAACTTCCCAACCGCTGCACATTGCGATGTCAGATGAAAGGGCATATTTTTAAAACACGTGTGGAATTCTTTAAAGGAAAAAAAAATCTGCAAATTGCTGAGCAACAATGAGATAAACCTCGAATCTACCCCTTGCCCACAGTCTGGATCTCAAAGAGGAGATAGGGTGGTGATAAACAGACCTGGGTCTGGATTTACTCCCTCGTTCAACCTTCCAGAACTTGTGAGAAAGAGATACCTGAACTCACCTATTACCACTCAGAGACGGCTCTGGGCTGATACTGCCAGGTACAGTCAGGGGGTAGCCCACAGACACTGCCGCCCAACCCTCCCGAGACTCTCGGCAGGCTTGCACAGCCACGGGTGGACATGAGAGCCGAGGAACCAGAAGGCCTGGTTATGTGAGAAAAAGATCCCTCTTTCCCTGTATTTCTTTCCTTATGAAAACCTTGTGGCTGTCTTCTTTCCAACTCATTGAGAATAAGCATCACATTTCTCTGTTTTTCAGATAATAAAAAGGTAAGGCCCTGGTTCTTTACCCATAGATCAGAATACTAGGTCTTCTGTGTTAACAATGCAAAAGCATGTTACTTGAGTACTTACTGGGAGCCAGGTACTTGGCATGGATTCGTTCATCCTCATGAGCACTATATCGAGTGGTGATTACAATCATGTGTGTTGTAATTCTAATTTTTATGGTTTATCTATATAGTTTTGTATTAGGCTTAGAATTCTTATTTAAATTAAAGGCGGAGGTGCTATGGGAATTCCTTCAGCCAGTAGCCTTTAAGATACCAACCCACTTGGGCAGGGCCTTTTATACTATAAATGCCAACATAAAGCACGCACATACTCTCTCTCCCAGCTTCTGGACTTAGTTCCTGTTCCCCATTCATGCAGAGGACTGTGATCTGTGAGTCTACCCCCAAATAAATTGCCCTTTATTATACCCATTTCTGAGCTAGAGTGGGATTATTTTATAGCATCCATTATCACTGCTTGATGGTGCATGGCAAACTAGAGATTCCCAATGGAAGCAGAGAGAAGGAGTGAATTCTGCTTTCTGTTGCAGTTTAGCTAGGGGCTCGTGTGTTTGTGACTGAAGGATGGAGAAGTCAAAAGATCACCGGGTGTCTCAGTCTAAGTTTGGGTGGTAGCATGAGCCCATAATTCCAGCACTTGTGAAGTTGAGGCAGGAGGATGGCTGTGAGTTCTGGGTCAGCCTAGGTTAGATAGCATGGATCAAGGCCAGCTGGGGTTTCATAGTAAACTTGCAAATAAATATAATAATCTCATTTATAATTTGTTTTGAAAATAGAGATGTCAGGGTTGTTTATACCCATCAACCCTGAACTCAGGAGGCTGAAGCAGGGGGATTCCTGCAAGTTCCAAGCCAGCATGGACTACACAGCAAACAGAATGAATGGTTGCGTTAGGGGAAAACAAATCAAATATGTCAACACACACACACACCCTCCTCACCTGTGCCATCAATTTTTTGTTTATAAATGATGTCCTTTGCTAAATCAGAGAAAAAGATGGTGTTATACTGGGCATCAAAATCAATTCCAACAAAGAAGGAAGGACTCCCAGTGATGGGAACCATGACGTCTTCCTGGGTGGAGAGGGTAAACGGGATCCCTCGCACAGCAGATTGCGATGAGAAGAGCAAGAAGTTCCTAACAGCTGTAGGAAGAGAAAGGAAACAGCGGTGTCAGTCACAATGCAGCGGGGTCCTGCGCCAGAGACAGCGCTTTTCTTTTTTTTTTTTTTTTTTGGTTTTTTTTTTTTTTCGGAGGCAGCGCTTTTCTACTCATCATATAACAGGGAACCATAGTCCAGAAGAAAACAGATTGCTGTGGTAACTCCTTCAGCCAATAGCCTTTAAGATACCAGCCCACTGGGCGTGGTCTCTCATACTATAAATGCAGCCATTGAGCTTACAGTCCCTCTGCCAGCTGTTGGATTCGGTTCTGTTCCCCATTCGCGCAGGATTGTGATCTGTGAGTCTACCCCTAAATGCCCCTCAATTCTGAGCCAGTGTGAGATTATAGTGTCCATCTTTAAGAGATGAGCAAATATAATGATCAAGTATTGTAGTCTTCACGTTTCATTACTGCACACTTATGCACAAATGTGTATGTTCTCACTCCTGTTACCCTTTCTGTGTTAGAAGTGGGGTAGGCACACTCCTGAGAGATCAAAGGCCAGAGGAGGGTGCTCTAACCCCTCTTCCCAAAGACTGTGTCTCTCGCTGAACCTGGAGGTCACCATTTTGGGCAGGCTGGCTGCAGGCACACCCTAAAGACCCACCCTGTCCCTGACCCTCTTTCACTCTCCCAGTACTGGGATTACAGTACTCAAGGCAACCGTAGTTCTCACGTGGCTACTGCAGGAACCAAACTCAGATCCTCTCTCACCTACTGAGCCATCACCCCAGTACCCTCATCATAATCTCATTTATTTTTATATTTATATTTTTATAAATATATACTTATAAATATATATATTTATATTTTTTTTATTTCTCCTTAGGAGAGTGCAGGCAGCCCAAGAGAAAAGCAGCAGCCTCCAAGAGAACCAGGAGAAAGAAAGGAATAAAAAAATTTTAAAAAAAAAACTGTTTTTGAATGAAGCCACAAGGCCAGGTGATCCAGAAATTATTCCAAAATGGCTATGTGATAGGCAGAGCACAGGACCCTGGGGTTCCAAAGCCAGCACTAGGGGGAAAATGTGGGAGAAGCCAAAATGGGGGTATACACCAGTAATGCTAGCACTTGGGGTACTGGGGCAGAAAGACCATGAGTCCCAGTCCAGCCTGAACTACATGGGGAAACTGCCTAAAAATAACTCTATAGAATCTAAAGGTCATAGCTGATGACTCATGATAATAAAGAGGGACAGAAGTTTCAGAGGAAAAGATCGAGAAAGCCATGAACGACCAACCAAAGGGAAATCTCAATCTTCAATTTGAATGGTTCTCTACAGAGCCATTGCAGTTCTTGGTGAGTTGGCCCAGAGCACAGTGGGGCTGTCTGGGTGGAAGCATGCACACAGAACCCATGGGATGCCTACAGTCCAGGCAGATTTCTTACCAACACAGTGGCGCTCATCAGCATGCAGTTCAAAGCCGAATTCACACTTGCAGCGGAAGCCCAGGCCGCCGTTATCTGTCCTGTGACTCAGAACACAGACCTGTTCACAGCCCCCATTGTTACTTCCACACGGATTGCTGGCTGGGGGAAGCACACATATTACAACACTTGAAGTGACACAAGACACAAACAACCATTTGGGGGCCCCATGGCGGCTATAATTTCAGAGTCATGTCTCCAGGCTGGTCTCCCTAACCCTCCACTCCCAGTGGCTAAACTGTGAGATAATTATGTCTGTGTGGTAGCCTCTAGTATATAACTGCTATGGCTCCAATTTCAGAACATCTATTACTTAGCGAGTGCATATTTTACAAGTAAGTCAGTGTATCAATCCTAACCCTGAAAGAAATATTTATTCTAGCTGGGGCCTGAAAAGTTAAAATTGAGTGCTTGGCTAAAGCACAGATCAGGTTCCAAATCCTGCGTGTCACACAAACTAGGTTTTGCCTTCTGATAGCTCACTGTAGCCTATGCAGAGATGCCAACAGTACGCTACTTTGTCTGCTTTTTTTACTTTATGTGTATGAGTGTTTGCCTGCATTTATGTTTGTGCACCATGTCTGTGCATCATGTGTGTGCAGTGCCCAAGCACCAGAACAGGATTTCAGATCCCGTAAACCTTGAATTGTAAACAGTGGTGAGTCTTCTTTCTGAACCTTATAAAACTTTCCCTCTCAGTTGTGTTGATTTGAGGAAATAGTCAGACGTCATTCAGAGCAAATAACAAAAATAATATGGAAGGCTGAACAGATTATGGAAGCTTTGAACCTAGAGATTCCCAGAATGTTTTCAGACCAAGTATACATTTTATTTAAATTTAGTGTATTAAATGCTATCCTGGTATTTGATATTTTGTTCTCGTGTGGTTTTCTGTCTTTTTTAATATTGAATTACTTTATAGTTTTTCTTCATTCTAAACAGATTCCTCCCTTAATTAACATGACAGTCAAAATTTTAAAACAACTTTTTCTTTTTGTAATGTATCGTCTTTCTGCAGCATCACATTGGTTTCACATACAGCACAGGTAGGCACCAAAGCTCAATTTAAAACCCCAGACAACACAAACCCTGCTCTAAAATAACAGTATCTGAATCCAAAGAATCCCTCGTGCATGTACCCTTCCTTTTGTTACTATGGCTCTATGATACCTACCTCTCCTGGGATTGAAGGCATTTGCAACCACACTGGGCTTTGAAACATAAGAATTATTGACCAGACAAGTAAACATATCTGGTCCATGATAGCCCTAACGCAAAAATAAAGCTGACATGAAGTCACATGAGCACAGAGAGCTGGTTGGCATAGTTCATTTGTTGCTATCAAACACCTGTGCAGGCTCTGGACTACACTACAGAATCCAAAACATCAGTTCAAGGACTATCCTTCATCTGTGATTGTAAGTCTAAAATTGATGTTACTGATTTCGTGAAGGTTTAGTTAGCAGCACCCAGATCTCATGAAGGGTCTCCTCGTTAGTTTCCATGGCCACATGGGACAGAGACTTACCATTGGGCTGCCTGAGGGCGTGGTAAACGGCCACCCCGTAAGGCCTCAGGGAAGACTGGTAGTACACTTGAGGGCTGGTCTCTGTGAACTTGTTTGCTTTCATCACGGCCAGCTTTGTCCAATCAGTAAAGAACACGTGTCCCTCAAACAAGCTTATTCCAAAGGGATGAGGGACAACGGAGCCACCACGAGCTACTGTCTTCCTGTTACAAAAAAGATACGTGTGTATCATACCATTGTTGCCTGCTTTTATTTTCGTGACGGAGTAATTTGTTCAGCTGGGTGCCTAAAAACCTAAATCAATTGTTATGATTTAGAACATGTTGAAAAAAAAATGTTTTAGGGTGTTTTTGAAATCCTCCATACAGGCTGGGGTTGTAGTTCAGAGGTAGGAATGCTTTCTACCATGTTAGGGCCCAGTACCACCAAAGCAAAGGAAAGGAGGAGGGAGAGGATGACGAGGGAAAAGGAGCGGGGATGGGAATTATCCTCCAGCTGTTCCCTCAGCAGTAATTCCCTGCTGCACTGGGCACCATTCCTCAGCAACTCGAAGACAAGACGGTGGAAGGCAGAGGGGGACGCCTGGCAAGCCCCCAGGGCTACCACTCTCAGCTGCTGGGTGAAACTGTCCACAGGTCATAACTGTGGCAGGAACACAACTGACATTTGATTAAGTACAGGAAAGAAGTGAGGTAGAGGGGCTGGAGAGACGGCTCAGCAGGTAAGAACACTGACTGCTCCTCCAGGGGACCCAAGTTCAATTCCCAGCACCCACATGGCAACTCACAACTGTCTGAAAATGCAGTTCCACGAGATCGGACACCTTCACACCAATGCGCATAAAGTTAAATAAATAATTAAAAATTTTTTTTAAAGAAAGAAGTGAGGTAGAGAATGGTTCTAAAGGGAAAAACACATTATCTGAAAGAAAAATGTTATCTGGCCCTGAAAAACAGTACAATAATGATAATAATAATAAATGGAATTTTTTTAAAGAGCAGGTCACTGCAGGCACAAGTCAACATACAAAAAAAAATGAAGCTCTTCTTTTAATTCAGTTTCTTCAGATTTGTACTGTTTCCCCCAAAGTTTATAAAGCTATTTCTTTTTCAAGGCTCACCTTTGAATGCCATCGTAGGTTACCGTTTCAATGTAGTCATACCGAGAGTCCACCCAGTAAATCCTCCTGGACACTAGATCCAGAGTGATCCCAGCAGGCCACCCCACTTTTGTTTTGACCAGATCCTTCCGGTTGCTGCCGTCCATGAAGGCTCTTTCCAACTTGGGTTGCCCAGAAAGGCTTGCCCAATCTGAGAAAAATAAATAGCTACGAGAGAGGGGCAGAAGATGAAAAAAGTCTGTTTAGTAAGTTCGCCTCACCTATGGGGGTCTAGAGCCTAAAGAAAAACCTAAAGGGAAGGAGGCAGGATTGGTGTGTGGTGTGGGTTCACACTGCTGATCAACGTGAGAGCTACACCCAGAGATCGAGGGCAAACCAGAATACTGACAACAGCCTTCCAACTTTAAAACCCTGTCCGTGGGTCCACACTTGAGGCATCCCCTTAATATGGTATTGTATTATAAGAATTAAACTGAGCCAGAACCCACAGCTAGGCAAATATGATTAAACAAGAAGACAGTTCACACCACATCGAGTGTCTAAAGGACACCAGAAGGTGTGCTTGGATTATATATCCTCACATGGACTTTAATTACATAGCCTTCTATGGACTTATCTTTATATTACATATCCTCATATGGACTTGTAACTCTTCTGAAGCCTCTATGCCTTCTAGAGAACCGAACCTAAAAGAACTCAGAATTGACCTCCAACCAATCAAATGGGGGTTAGGTGTTTAGGCCATCGCTTACCCCACAGTTGGATCTAAGGCAATTCCTCTAGGACGCCCCAAGTTTTCAGTTATGAGAGTGATACGCTGACTTCCATCTAAGTTGACCACATCAATGCGGTTGACTTTTGTCTCTACCAGATAAAGTTTATTGTTAATCCAGTCCACAGCTAGATTCTCTGGAGTGTCAACAGAAACATTGAGAATTTCTTGGGTATCTAAGCCATTTATGTCAGTGGAAAAAACCTGAAAGAAAAAGCCACAATCAATATATTTAGAAAGTATATCATATATTGTATGACTCGGTTACCTCAATCTTACAAACAGCTAACTATTATATTTTACATTGTGGGTTATCGGGATAAAACGGATTTTATTCAGAGTACATATAAGGTAAATACATGGTTGAATTCTGTAGAATTCATTTTGTTTTGATTTAAGCCTGCATTTTTTTTTCATCCTTGTTGTAACGATTCGTTTTTGTTGCTGTTGTTTTGTGGAGATGGTGGCCTGCTTTCAGTTTTATTCAAATCAAAATTGATAATAATCAAAATTCAACATTGTGTTATCCCTTAATTAGAAACTTAGGCATAATTGGTTTCCTATTAAAAGAAATATAACAAGAATAAACAAAATTCCATGACTCTTTAGGAGTTTCTAAAATATTATATTGAATATAATACAGATTCAAAACATCAATCCTATATTTTAAGTAAAACAATGTAATGAAGAATTGACCATCACATAAAGAGTTCCAGTATTTTTTGCCCAACCCTCAATTGTACAGTTATATACAATCTGAAGGTTAAAAAAAATCTGATTTTTATCATGCAAGTAAGCAAGAGCACTATGATCGAGTTTCAAAAATGACTACTAAATATCCATCTAGTATTGGAAGGTCTATGATTTCTTTTAATTACGCTTTTGGACTCCTTTATGAATAAAATTAAAAGTTGCTCAAGGCTGATCCAAATAATAGCTGTCTTTGTCTCATGGGTTACATGTAATAGTATAGCGTGGAAAGGGTGCTGATTAACATAAAATATCTCAAGGGCCTTTTTTGTCAGAAAACAAAAGAGCTTCCCCTCCACTCCCCCCAAATGAAAAGCTATCAACACTTTGTGCTTTAGGTTCCGTGCGCGTGCGGCCCACAAGCTATGCCCTTGACTTTTCTATTTACCTTATCCTGCCTGGGGTCTGTCCAAAAGACTCTTTGCTTTTGATAGTGAAAATCCACGCCCGTAGCCTGTCCACGGTTTTTAGACTCTACCAGAATCCGGAAGTTTCTTCCATGAAGATCTCCAATTAGCAAATCCCGACCATTGGAGAAGATAATGGAGGCTGCGCTGACTGCAAGGGGAACCAATGAAGGACAACTGATGTCAGCAGGAGGTGAACTGGGCCACAAAGATGCTTAACAAAGTGAGTTAGAACAGTATCCTCATCACTGGTCCAACACGGTTAATAATACAGCAAGTCCCCTGATAAACATTAGGACACCTTATCCTCAGGGAATGTATGACTCTGGTGAATCCAAATCTATACTACACACTCCCGAGGCATCCAAAATAACATTAAGAAACCACTTAAGTCATATTGGAGTAATATGGTTGGCTGGGTTTCAAAGTTATGTGCAAGGCTCAGTGGGTAGAAGCAAGAGTGCTCTTCCAGAGGACCTGGGTTTGATTTCTAGCACCTGCATTGCTGCTGAGAACCTTCTGTAACTCCACTTCCTGGTTTTCTGACTCCCTCTTCTGGGTTCCTCGGGTACCAGACATGCACCCATACACGCAGAAAAATGTGCATTCAAAGCTGGCATACTATCCACAATAAAAAGGAACAGATGCATGGAGTGGTGGTTCTTGCCTGCCATTGCTGCTCAGGCAGGACTGTCCAGAGCTAGAAGCCAGCGTGCCCTACACAGTGAGGCCTAGGCCAGCATGAGCTACACTGTGAGGCTCTGGCTTATAAGTAAAAATAATAAATAAGCAATGAAAATAAAATAAAGAGTTAAGACAAGCATAAGTGACATTATCAAAAGCAGAACTGCATGCATAATTTATTAGTACATGTTAAAATGGGATTAAATATCTATAATTGTACATTTTTGCATTTTTAAAAAATTTTCTAAAATTGAAATGAAGCAAAGGAACTATTTGTGGGAAAGGAAATATACTCGGAAGAAAGAATTAAGGATGGAAGGATATATTTATATATGTATTAAACATGAATATGCTTTTTTAACATGAATGTATTTTTATTTTGCTGTCTGGAGGAGACATCATCCCAGGTTGGCTTAGGCAAAATAGATAAGATTCAACATTCACAAAAAAATTAGCATGTCCGTGTTGAAATTTTCTATTATTTCTACAGATATTTTAACACATTTGTGATAGGTAAGTTAAAGATTAAATACCTGTCTGTGTCAGTCAAATGCAGCCATAACTGTTATTCTACAATCAAATGAATTGGGCGATACAATGGCCTGGGTCAATAAAGAAGCCATTGAAATGGCTGGAACTTAGCTGGGCTGGAGTGGTGCACTTGGGGTAGAAGCAGACAGATAGCTCATGGCCACGGTGGTCTATAGAGTGAGTTCCAGGGTAGCCAAGGCTACAGGGATAGAGCTTGTCAAAAAAAAAAAAAAAAAAAAAAAGCAAAACTAACCCCCCCCCCCAAAAAAAAGACGGCATGGAATGGAATTAGATTCAATACTTAGTACTGAAAAGGGGGAGAAAAAGAAGACTATTAGAAACACCCACTATTATTGCACAAATTGAACCTTAGTGCTAATATACAATTAAGGCTTATCTTTTCTTCCAGGCTGCAAGGCCACCTCCACTCTGAGAGGACAGAGATTCTGTTCTGTCTTCTGCCATCAGCTAAGGAAAGGGAGTACCAGGAGATGACCGATGAATCGAGTACTCACAGGAGTTATTGGCTTTGCAGTGCTGTCCACGCTCCAAGACGTACCCTTCTTCACAGAGACACTGGTGACGGCCTTGCCGATTTTCACACTTCTGGTCACAAGTTCCCCATATCTGGCAGTCATCAAAATCTGTCACGTGGGAAGAAAAGCATTCATAATCATGTTCATCGGCATATAATGAATGTTATATCCTTGTCCGGAGAAGTATACAAAAAAAATAGGAAGGAGAAACCTAAGACATGCATTTTCACAAGAGAAGAATCCAAAAACGTTATAGAAGACTGTACCCACACACTCACGTCACTATATCTCATTATTAATACTAATTAATATTGGCTTACAGGATTCATGCATTTTGCCGAAATGCTTCCCCTTGAAAACCTATACTTTTCCAATAATAAATATTTGTCCCCCGGTTTCTCAGTCTTGTCTGCTACAAAGTCGTCACTGGCTACATATAATTACAAAATAAAGTGAAGATACAGGAATACAAATGTGTGAGAGACCCCGCAAGAAGATGGTCTGTGTTCTTGGGGATTTTTGTTCATTCAAATGTCATAAGCAACACTAAAATTATCTTCCATTTATTCCTTAATCATTCATGCAAAGGTATTTGTTGAATGTTCCTTACATAAAAGGGATGCGAAGTCACACACAAAGCAATCTCAGTTCTATTGACAAAGAATTTTAATAGGAAAGACATATATAATATTGTAAGAAAGTTCCTTCAAATTGTAAGATTTGAAGATGCCCAAATTGTCCTATTGTTGGTAGGCCGGTACATTTAAATACCCTTCCTATCCGTGACCCCTCCCCTAACAGTGAACCACCTCCTCATGCCCCCTGGCACTAGGGGGGCATACTGATAATTCATTATTTATTTTGTTTTGGTTTTGCTTTGTTGCGACAAAGTCACTCTGCTGGCATTAAAGGGTATCACTATACCCAGCTACCAATTTCATGTGTATGTGTGTGTGTGTGTTTGTGTGCTTGTGTAAGTATGTGTGTGTGTGTGTGCGCGTGTTTGTGTGCTTGTGTGAGTGTGTGTTTGTGTGTGTGTGTGTGAGTGTGTGTGTGAGTGTGCGCATGTGCATTCCACAGTAAGTGCGTGAAAGACATAGGGATTGAACTCAGGTAGTCTGTCTTAGAGACAATCACCTTGACCCACTGAGCCATTTCACAGGCACACCGTCTAATTTTGATTATCAAACTAAGGGCCTGGAGTCAGAGAGCAGCAGGGGTGTGGATGTCAAACAGAAGGAGACTAGAGCTGGGCATCTGGGGCGCAAATGCCCTTTCCGTCCATCACCCTTGCTTTGCATGCATTTCATATTGGGATATGTGTGACCATTTCCAATAACTGCTGTCAAGAAAGGACTACATACATGGTAAGACCATGACAACCAAAAAGATTGTACTGTTTTTAGATCCCTACTGTGGAGAATGAAGGCTAATTAAACGTCTATCAGCAGCTGAATGAGATAAGAAAATGAGAGCGGAATGGGGAACTTTCCTGAAACTAAGAACATTGTAGACAAGGCCTGAAGCAGTCTATGCCCAGACCCCTGCACATTTATCTGTTTCTCTTCCCTTCGTAGTCTTTGCCCCCCACTCCTACAAACAAGTCCTGCTTTCACACAATTCAAAAACCTTTTTGGCTTTCTACGCCTAAGACACTTCTGTCTGGCTGTGTGAAACCCTGCAGGCTGAATGACCTCCATGCCCTGACCCTGCGGCACAATGTCATTCTGTCAACAAACAGCACCTCCCGTCAGTCAGAAACAATGAGCCCCCTAAACTGCTCCTGCAAGCCACAGAAACTCCGCTGCCAGGTCGAGACTACCAGAGGCCAGTGAATGGTGGAAGGACACCAGATTTCATGTCAAGATTACTCCTTTTTATTCTTGATTACCACTGAGGCATTCCGTGGAGAGACAGAAGGCACCCAACACCTGAAGTCTCTGTATTGAGGCAGCCATGCAGAGAGCAAAAACCACGCAGGTTTGCTTGAGAGAACAAACTAAAACAATTCCCCTGAAATCTCAACTCGGCTTAAACAACTGTATATCTGGTTTCATAATGTCCTGTATTTAGACTAGAGTTCACAAAGAGAAAAACAGTCATCTTTGAAACGAATATGAAAGAGTTTAGCCAGTCTTAGAACTCAGGGGTAAATCAGGCATTCTTGAATCCTTGACAGGGAAGAGGTCACAGAAAAGGCCTCTGCAGGTGGCAGGGGGCCTTCCAGTCACAAAGGCCCTCAAGTGTAGACTTTTGAGCTTATCTCTAAATGAGGTTGTCCGTAAGAATGTCCCAAAAGGGGACTGAGGGGGACTGAAGGATGTCCGCTGGAATTTAAAACGAGTCCCCTCACTGTTCAACCATGCTGCTTCTATTGTGTCTCAGACTGAATGTGTTTGGTAAACCCTAAACCCAACTGCCGGCACAATGAGGACTCTTTCTGCATCACGTCATTAGCTGGCTATGCTTAAAACTGAATAAAAGCCTCAGTTCAGAGTTACATATTGGAAAGATATATGCTACGTGGAAAGGGGGAGGGGGAAAAGCCCAAGGATAGGTTGTGGGCGGCATAGGACAGGGCACACTGTAAAAGCAAGTCACTCTTGGCTTATCAAGTTTCCACAGCTGATACCCAACCCCCAGCCCACCCTCTCACGGCCCACTACCCACCCCCATTCTCCCCCACTCTTACCTCCCCCCCACCCCCACCTCATCCACTGGCTTTGGGAATTGTGAAAGGAGCAATGGAGAGATGACGTCACCCTGAGAATGTGGCTTCTGGTATTTCTCTTGGAATTCCTCTTCTACTGAGAGAGAGGGAAATGCCTAGAGAAGGAAAAGCCTGGGAATGGGACTGGCAGCGTGCTGGCAGCCAAGGGAGCAGAGCAGCCTGACACTTGCCAAAGGAAAGGGGCGGTCTCGGCCCACTAATGAGCCCCGCCCCAGGAAGTGGAATGCTACTCAGAAAAATGCCAGGGGGAGCTGATGGAGAAGTCTACCTGCTGGATGAGGGTGGGCCTGCATGCAGTTTAATCCTTGAGCACATCCCAGTGCCATGAGAATAAACGTAAGAAAACATCTCAGTTTCAGACTCCATAAAATGTCTTGAAATTATTAAAAACCTGGACGGATGTTTATAATACCACAGAATTTTCTCAGTCTCAGGGTGACAGGCACGAACCACAGGTTCTCCATGTAGAACCTTGAGTATGAGGCTGGCCTCAGACTCAAGGAACATTTAACTCTGATCTTCCTGCATCAATTTCCCAAGAGCTAGGATAACAGGTGAGACATGATACCAGGAGACCCCCTTTAATACTTAAGGATAAATATAATTACTTGAGGGGGACAGATAGGCCATAGGCATACCTTGGGATATAGTCCTAATATTTAAAAAGCTGAAGTTGGCCTATCCAACAACCTCAGAACTCAGTAGGCAGAGGCAAGAGGATAAATAAATAATTGATGTCACAGAACCATGACATTCAGATATCACAGGGATAACTTCCTAGGCTTATTCTACTGAATATATGCTGTAGCATTTGACACTCACTAAGAATTCCAAGTTAGTGACCAGCAAGATGATTTTGCTTTCATACTGACTTAAAATTAAAAAATTTTTCCAAGTTGAATTTGCTAATTTATTCAAATGATCATCTGACTATGGATAGTTACTAAGATCAACTATATTCAATAATTGCAAAGTTATGTTCTAGCCCAATGCTAATAGTAAAAACTGAATGGAACTTCACTTGGTTTGTCCAAATTTAACATTTTTTTTTAATAAATTGGAATAAAAATTTTTCCGAAGAAATGTTTTTCTAAAGCAAAGTCTATTCCCCCCACTGATGAACCACTGGACCTTTAAAAGGATTTCCTGTGCTTGTTTACGGTGTTTAAAAAATCAGCGCAGCTGTATGCCCTGGCTTCTGTTCATATACCTGTACAGGAATGGATTTGAATGGTTATGAAAAGGAAACCATGAATGGGGGAAGGGGTTTAGAGGGTGCGGCAGAATACAATAAGTGTTCAGTGGAAAGAGAGTGGAAGGAGAATCAAGGGTACACTTTGTCTGAAAACAACAACCCCCATAGTACTCATGCTAACTTAAAAAAAAAGCAGGTGGTGAACTGGAACATGTCACCCTAGTCATGCCACCCTCCCGCTGTCACCTCGGGGCTGAAACTGCCCAGGACCCGCTGGTACATTCTGAGGGAACTCTTGGAGCTCCTGGCAGCCACTTACCGGTGCAGGTACGGCTGTCATTGGTGTTGATGATGTGACTCAGGGGACAAAAACATTCTCCTCCGAATGGCGTCTGGTGGCACTGGTACTCACAGTTTAAGAACGAGCAGAGACTCGTGCCTAATCAGAGAAGGAAAGAACCGGGCTGAGTGGGTAGACTGGACAAAACGAAGTTTGCCTAATAACTTTTTATGCCATACGTAGAGCAAGGAAACCAGACACCTTACCACAATATTATACAGCAAAAGCTTCATTTGTATTGGTAACTAGTAGCTACTAGTGACATTCATAAAAAAAAAAAATCAGGTCATAAGCTTTGGTAGTTCTAACTTGATTGGCTTCAAATAGCAGGGTTTCAAAAAGTTTTTTTTTCTTTCTGCTATTGTCTATTTTCTAAACTTTGAACAATAATTATACAAATTATAATATATACAATATATATAAAAATGTTTAGTCTTGAGCTTTTATAATAAGGCTTACAAATTAAATGGAGGAACATTTAGATATGACAAGCATAGGTGGAGGGGGAAATCCTTGGGATTGGAATTTTACATGTGCTATCATATGTGAAACCACCAATTGATTTAGCATCCAAACTGTATTTGCCTTTAAGATGTGAGATGCTCTCAGACATGATGGGCTAATTGGAGGAAGGAGATGAAAAGGGTGTGATTGTGCACTGCTTAGCCAGTTCAGTTTTCCCACTGGAAAACTGTCCTAAGAACCAATGGAAAACAGCTGAGTATACACTGAATATACACAACCTAGGAACCAGAAGCTTCTCTTTTTCTTAGTATATCTTAATATAAGGCAAAATATCACATGTATGAAACAGGATAGAGAGCACAGATCGGTGGGTAGGGCATTTGCATTACACTTATGAGTCCTATGGGTCACACAAAATAGGAATCTCCCATGTTAGAGTCATAATTGTTTTTCCATGATTTTCCATGTTGGCATGCACTTTCATTCCATTCTAGCTTCAGCCAAACAGCATGCTAAGGTCGATACATCAGCGAACACGACACTTGCAGAGACTTTAAAATGTTTGAATGCTGGGGTCTACTCTGTCCAGCATCATCAACCCAAGTGTGGGCTTGTAGAGGCAAGAACCACTATGGGAATAAATGTTTGTCCCTGAGGCAACTAATTTGAGGTAATTCGTTCTGCAAATACCAGCTGACACCGTCTGCTTCTGAGAATCTGAAAGAGAAAGCAGCCTTCGTAGGGTCCCCACACTCACCACATTGCCTTCCGCTCGTGGTGTTGTTTTCATCTTCTCCATTGGGGCAGTCGGGAACTCCATCGCAAACTTTATCGATGGAGATGCACCGTCCAGACCCTGGGCAAGGCCATTCTCTCGGGTAGCACGAATGATGACGCTGATTACTTTCTGGAAGGGAAGAAAAGAGTGCTAGACCACCCTCGAGATTGTGCCGCTCTTCTCGCCAGATGGGCCGGGCGAGAAACAAAAGTCCAAGCAACCCTATGGAGGGTCTACAACCAGCCTCTTCCCGAGATCCTGTGGAATCATTTAAGTTCCACATAACTTTTTCTGAAAGAGGCAGCAAACATGGATAATCCAAGGGAGATGCCAACTCAAAAATGGGAAGGCCGCCTTCCGGACCACTAGAACATAAAATCAACAGATGCTTCAGATTAAGATTGACTCTACTTTCTGAAACTGGAACGTTGAAAGGAACCTGCTGTATGGAACGGACATTCAATAACTGAGACCTGGGGGAGGAACTGCTGGTGGCAGCAGCACAGTGAATACCAAGAGCAATTTCCTTCTCAAATGACAGCGTGCAGGGTGTTCCCTAAATTCCCTTCCGATGTTCCCGACGTGGCCCATCCTCCAGTGATTCAAAGCTCACAGGTTACTACAGGCCTAAGGTGTTTATAAAGGCTCTAAAGCCTAAGAAAAATTACGTTCTCCCTCCTTCCCTGTCTTATTACTTTTGCATCAGGAAAACAAGTGGTCTTGAAGGGAAAAGAAAAGTGGAGCGATGGCTCAGTGGTTAAGAGCACTCACTGGTTGCTCTCCCAGAGGTCCTCAATTCAATTCTCAGAATGGAATTTGAAGCCCTTGTATGCATAAATAGAAATAAGAAAGGCATAAAGAAGGGCGAGAAACTGTCCTGCCCACTCTTCCTTAAAGATGGGAAGGAGGGGATTAATTAATTGATGTTGTATCTGGGATCTAGTGGGGTCACCCAGGTGGTGGGAATCCTGGCTGGCCCTTACCACATTCGTCTTCATCACTAGAATCTTGGCAGTCATCATCTCCATCACAGACCCAGTTCTGATTGATGCACTGGCCACTGGAGCAAGTGAACTGATGGCCTCCGCAGGTGTTATAGGCTGGAAGAGAGCAACAGCAGAGCACTGGAAAGGCGCAGTCACTGGGGAAAATCACTGCCTGCATTCAGCTCCTAGACACTCATCAGTTTGGGCCTTTGGAGCTTAACAAGGAAAAGAAGGAAGAAAGGAAGGAAGGCAGGGAGACAAAGGAAGGAAGGGAGGAAGGAAGGAACACAGGAATGAAGGAAGGAGAAAAAGAGGCAAAAACTTTGACTTGAGGGTATGAACTCTGGGCCAAAGAGCAGAGATATGCCATGATCAAGAGGCTAGATGCTAATACTCAGTAATCACGGACTTTACCATAAGCATTGTAACTGTCACCTACACCAAAACACCCGGAGTCACCCACTCCACAGTGCCCCGTGCCTAACTCCCAGAAAAACAAGGAGATGGGTCACCAGCCGATCAAAGCAGTAGGGAAACGACCGCAGGAAGCTGGTGATTTGTGGGAGCTGGTAAAACAGTTACCATGATGTCTTCTAACTTTATAATATTCCAAGAAAGAAATACACTGAAGATATGGAAATATTGGTCAGGTCAGGAGGAAAGATGCAGAGACAGTGATAATCATCTACAACCTTAGAAACTTTCCTGGACTTCTAACTACAAGGCAGTAGAGATTTTAGGATTGGCGTTAGAGGCTTTGTTAGCTGGACACTTCCTTCCCTTCCCTCTCAAGATCGACTCTCAAGATCAGAGTTGTGTGACATACTGTGCCTTGCAACTCTGTCTCAAAGAATGCAGGAAAGAATGCAAGCTATCAGCAACTCTTTGCCTCTGCTGTGATCTGTGGAGGATAAAGGAACCCAGGTCAAGCAATACTAATAAAGTTGGAGCAATGGCCCTTCCATTATCTTTTGGCCTCTTCTGCCATCAGAGACTCCTTTGAGGGAAAAATGCTAGCGAACGGAGGAGGAGGAAGCACCCCTTATCACATGACCCAACATAAAGAAGTCACCGTACTGCAATTGTGCTCATCGCTGTTATCTTCACAGTCATTGTCGTGGTCACAGACGTAGGCGCGGAGGATGCACTCCCCACTGCCACATTCAAACTCCTTGTGTGAACACTGTGCGGCTGAGACACGAGGTTAAAAAGAGGAAGAAAGATCATTTCACATTAACCATCACCACCTGATTTCTTTTGGAAGATTCTACCTCTATTTTAGAAGTAACTTATTAGGCGGTGGGCAACGATACAACCAGTCCTTGGGGAATCGAATGGGCCCAATTTGTGGCTTCTACCAAAATTAATTGTGTAAATACTCCCACTGATAGATGATATGGATCCAGTGGACCCAGGCTTGGGAAGAACGGTGTGTGTCTGTCCCTCCAGTCAGTGTAGGCCGGCTTCGACTTCCCACACCACCACACCACTAAGGCACATGACTTACTGCAGTTAGCTTCATCAGAGGAGTCTCTACAGTCAACCTTCTGATCACACCTCTGGCTCGTGTTATAGCAGGCTCCGTTGGCACATGTAAGCTGATCACATGTTGGATAACCTGTTACAGGAAAAACAAAGCTTCAGTGAAGGCATCCTGAGTGGTTCCACTGTGCAGGGACTGAATCTAAGCGGTCCCTGACCTCCTCAAACAGTCAAGTCTGGGAAAGGCGCATCAATCAAATATAGACACACACATCAAACGATACGCAAATGAGGGAGTCACCGATATGCAAATGAGGGAATCACCAAAGCTTCACCACAGGACAATGTGGGAGCCAAGAGATGTCTAAAGAAGTGTAGCTCGAGACTGAGAATTGGCAAATATAAAATTATTTAAAATGGAGCCTCCTCCTATATAATATGAATTACATCCTAGGAAACTCGTGTACTGCTGTACTTGTTCTGGGAAGTGAAGGGTCATTTCTCTCATGGAAGGGGCGGGGGGGGGGGGAGAGCAAGCCTAGAAATGAGAAGACCTTGGCCAAGGGCAGAGAAAATAAATAAATAGCCAGTGGCTATTTAATCAACTTACTCAGTTTCTGTCAACATGAATGAATAACTACCTCACAGGGTCGATTGTCCTAAGGAAACAATGTCTAGTAGACATCTTGAAAAAGCTGTGATTGCTCACTGGGCGGTGGTGGTGTGCACCTTTAATCCCACCACTTGGGAGGCAGGTGGATCTTTGTAAGTTTTAGTCCATCCTGGTCTACAAGAGCTAGTTCCAAGACAGGTACCAAAGCTACAGAGAAACCATGTCTCAAAAAAAAAAAAAAAGTTGCTGGGAGTGGTGGCATGATTGCTTCCCAAGCACGCATTACTATTATACCTCGGTATCCATGGAAACTGGCTCCAGGACCACACTGTGTATCAAAACCCAGAGTCCTGAGTCCCTCATATAAAATAGTGCACATTTGTCCACAACCCGTACCCATCTTCCTGTATACCACATTTATCTTTAAATAGCTTATCATTCCTCATATAAGCTCCAAATACTTGCATGCTGTATTATTTAGAGAGTATTAACAAGTCTGTCTTAGTACAGATGTCTTCAACCTTGAAGCTGACTGAATACACAAATGTGATTGTTGGGTTGCTACAATACACAGACATACACAGATACATACATAAATCACATCTACACAATCATATCAATATTAACCTAGATTTCTGAGCCACAGCAAAAAAAAATCAATGTGCAATGCAGGAATGGGACGCCATCTGTCTGCCCTTTGTGTTACCCAGCATCCTAGTGTGTCCTTTACATGAGGACACACTGGAACTCATGGGTTCTACCTTACTTATTTAGTCATAGGAATACACCACTCAGTTCACTATTGCTCAGGGTTGGTAGCTCAGGAAACTGAGGCAAGAGGATTATTTTTAACTAGAGAAAAGAAAGCCTGGGCTACAAAGTAAGTTCCAGGATAGCCTGAGCCACAAAGTGAAAAAGCAAAGAGGGGTGAAAAAGGAAGACAAGAAAAATGGGTAACAGGAAGAGCTCAAAGGGGAGAAAAGAAAGAGAACTGGCCAATACTGCTATTGAGTTACCTATCCCACATAGGTTTCTCAGCACCTGCTTTGCTTTGTTACTGTTTGTTTCATTTTGCAGCAGTGTCTTGCTATGTAGCCCAGGCTAGCCTGGAATTCACTATGTAGATCAGGCTGGCCTCAACTCATGATCCCCCTACCTCAGCTGCCCTAGTGTTGGGATTACATAGTATTTATGTCCTTCACACAAGTGTGTTCTCCTCCTGGGTCTGACTCTCACTGAGGATTATATTCCTTGGGATTTGCAAGTTGTTTTCAGATTTATTTTTAAACAAGGAAAAGGCAAGTCTCAGAGTAAGATACACATCCCTACCTTGAAGCTAAGGCCCAGCTTGAGGCTGTACAGCCAGAATAACATATGGATGGTCCCAGAGTCTTTTCAAGCAAGAGCTATGTACAGAATCCTTGCTAAACTGAATTCAACTCAATAACAATAAAAATTAACAAGTGTGATGTAGCAGTGAAATAACATTATGGTTGGGGGTCCCCACAACATGAGGAACAGTATTAAAGAGTCACAGAAATGGGAAAATTGAGAATGACTGGTTTAAATCTATTTTTCATCTTTTTCTGGTGCAAATAATCTTTTCCCAGTTTTTTTTATAGTAAATGAATTAGCCTAAACCCTCTTCGTTTCTAAATATCCAAAACTAGGCCAGTAAATATTATTCTATGTCTAAGCTTCCAAAGTACCATGCAATGTTCAGTCACATGACTTCAAAAGAAGAATCTTCATGGCACTTCAACATAGTAGCTTCAACATAAAAGTGCCCTACATGCTAGCTCACTGAAGTGAATGATCTTACCCTTCTTACTTTACATGGGAAATAAACAGCCACAATGATGGACAGCCATGGGGGATGGACAGCCATGGGGATGGATGGCCATGGGGGATGGATGGCCATCGGGGAATGTTTCTGGTACTCTGTGAAAGACTAAGAAAGGGTATGTGATCTAAAGCCTTTGGAGGAACAAAAGATTTCCCTACACAACAGGTTCTTGGTGGTAGCCATGCATACCAGCAGCTATGTGAGGGACATACCTGGGGCTCCAGAGTTTGAAAGACAAACTCTAAAGATGTGATGTCCACCAATAATATAGTCTATTACCAGAAACAATGGATCAATGACTAAAGTACCCACAACTAAGCATGTGGTCCATGTCCAGTACACAATAACTTAGCAAGCATATCGCTCTGAAAAGCAGTGTTCTTTAAAAGAAAAAAGTTGTAAAAAAAAAAAAAAGTTGAAGAACACGCTAGTCCTTTGTCCAAGATAATGAGAAGCAGTGGGGTCAGGCTGTCAGCGGACAGCGTGTTTGCTCTCTGCAGCCTTCTACTTCTGAAAACCAAACTCATAAGATCCAACATCAAAAACAAAACAGGCAGTTTTGTAGCTAGCTATAATTTTACATTTCTTCTGAACTTTACGACAGCCCCAAACTGAATTCACACCTAAACTGCTGCTTAACTTTGATTATAAAGATGCTTCGGTTTGCGAAAGGGCTTTTAATGGGTCACACAATTCTGTTTATTAATTCTGCCTCCCAGAGATGCAAGTGGTCAGGTGAGGGCCTCACTCAAATCCCTCCCCCTCCACCCCCCACCGCTGTGTGCCAGATAGTTCCAGGAGTCAACACGTTATCTAGCCTTCCGAGAGCAGCATCAAGCCGAAAACCAGCTCTCTGCCAGCCCTCTGGCCAGATAAGCCTCCTGTCAGGGGGAAAATTTATTTGGGTTTGGACTGTGGCTACCACATTTGAGGTGATTGTTATGGCTAGGAAGGATCTGGAATCAATGTGGATTCAATGTGCTGGGCAGGGCTCTTGTTTTCTCCAACCATAAAACTTGAAGGAGATTTAAATCAGTGTCCACTGACAAGGCTCTATCCCTGCAGCTCCTGGGGCCAGACTGATGTCATCAGGGTGGTATCAGAACGACCGGAGGTCAGCGCTCTGAATGAATAGCAACCAGCTATTTGTCTCCATCCAACATGATAGTGAATCTCTCTCAAACAATGGGGGACAACTCCCAACTGCAAACCATGTACACCTTCTGGTCTTTTCTGGGTACATAACTTGAGGTGTATATATCCCCGTTTGGATAGTCACCCTTAGGAAAAAAAAAATTCCCTTGCTAAACTTGACAAGGCGTTCCAAGTTAAGTCATGGAACAGGAAGTCATAATTAGACGAGTTTCTTACTGGACAATCCCTAACACTCTTCTTTCTGAGTTTATACATTTGGCAAGCCTGCACCTAACCTAACACTTTTTTTTAACCAGGTCAAAGCCATCCTGTGACCATGGTGTCATCAAGTAGATGCAAGGAAACAGGACCCAAGAGCCCCGGTTTCTTTCTGAGCCTTGAAAGACTGACAGGGGCTGCTTCACTTCCTCACCCCACATCCCACTCCTTTCTCTTCTTCCCTCACAGATTGACATCTGCCACAAAATCTGCATACAGCATTGTTCTCCCCTTAAATGATTTGGTTTTGTGCAAGAAGCTTTCAAGCTATAGTTACATAATCAAGGAGGTCCAGGCACAATGGCACCAGGTAGGCAGATCTAGGGAGCCAGCTTGGTCTACTTAGTGAGATGCAGACAGCAAGGCTCAAATGAAACCAGAATCAAGGAGGAAGACTTTGGTGGAGGATCTGGACCTCTAAGACTGGAGTCATTTGTTCCAGAAGACACAGCTCAAAGGTACTATAAGAACTTATGAATACTATAAGAACACAGATAAGAAGGTATAGGCCTTCAGTTTCGGGATATTAGAGGCAAAGGCAGTTGAGGGAGATCCAGATAGGGAATTCCAGGCCAGACAAAGACAGAGACCCTGTAGAAAGGGAAGGAAAGAAGGGAGGGAAGAAGGAAGGGAGGGAGGAAGGGAGGGAGGGAGGGAGGGAGGGAGGGAGGGAGGAAAGAAAGATATTCAGTACTCATGAATTTTTTTTCATCCATAAGAGGTGAACACTAATTATTTTCCATTTTGTAGATGAGGAGCCTGAAGCACCCAAGAGGTTGAGGAATGTCTGCTGGAGAGTCAGAATTCAGAAACAAGCAATCAGGAGCCACAACTCCCGTGTTTAAACTACCACAGCAGTCAGGGCTTCCGATTAATTAATAGGGGGAAAATTAATTAATAGGGGGAATGATCGTGAACGGAAGAGCAATAAAAAAACCTTCAGCCGGGCGGTGGTGGCGCACACCTTTAATCCCAGCACTCAGGAGGCAGAGGCAGGCGGATCTCTGTGAGTTCGAGACCAGTCTGGTCTACAAGAGCTAGTTCCAGGACAGGCTCCAAAACCACAGAGAAACCCTGTCTCGAAAAACCAAAAAAATAAATAAATAAATAAAAAAAACCTACAAACCCCGGTATTCATCAGGCTGCAAATTCAGCAGGCTGAAAAAGTGAACAAATAAAGTGAATTCCAGACTAGCCTGGTCTACAGAGTAAGACAGGCAATGGAAAGAAAGGAAAGGATGGACAGATGGAAAGAAAGAGGGAG